TCGAGCAGAAAGAAAGTACCGACTGATGTCGTGATGATTTGTGATCTGGCTATACGGGCAGTTACCAAATGAGGAAAGTCTTTTAGGATATAAGAGGGAATGGGGTCAGAAGCAATGGAGGGGGTAACATTGTAGACTAGACAGGAGAAGGGAAACACTTGCAATGCTGCTGTGCTTTCACTTTTGGCTCTATTCACCTGTTACTTAATCCAGGCAGCAGCCTGTGAGTTTGGTGATATTTCAGATCAAGAAGCTGAGGCTTACGGAGGTAAAGAAATATGTATAAAGTCACATAGCCAGGTAGTGACAGAGCAGGATTCAAACCAAATCCCATGCTGTACTCAGTTCCTCAGATGGCCCTAACATGGGTAAAGAGCAAGTTAGATTATGGCTAAAGGTCAGTGAAAACAGGACTGTGAAGTAGATATGTCAGAAGAGTGTTTAAAACGAAAGGCCCTTGCCCTAACAGGTTTGGCTCAGTGGATAGAGCGTCGGCCTGCGGACTGAAAGGTCCCAGGTACGATTCCGGTCAAGGGCAGGTACCTTGGTTGCGGGCACATCCCCAGTAGGAGGTGTGCAGGAGGCAGCTGATCGATGTTTCTCTCCCATCAATGTTTCTAACTCTATCCCTCTCCCTTCCTCTCTGTAGAAAATCAATAAAATATATTTTAAAAAATAAGTAAATAAAAAAAATAAAAGCAAAGGCCCAGCTTAGCTGAGGTGTTACTCTAAGCCAATTCTTTCTCATTCTAGCTTTGTATTTAGCATTTTGTAACCAGGTGAAAAATTTTGTATTGGTTGCTTTCTTCTGAAATTATTTGGGAGTACTCTCTTGAAATAGAGATGAGATGATAAAATTGTATATACATGTAGTAATACTTATATACATATATCTGCAAAGCACAGTGAATTACTGTCCTGAATTTATTTGTTCTTTGAATGACATATATGGAATTGCCCCACAACAACAACAAAAATGATTGGCCTTAAGAATTGTAGGCCCTAGCGGGTAGTTTAATTGGTTAGAACATCGTCTCGAAATACCAAGACTATGGGTTCAATCTCTGGTCAGGGCACATATAAGAAGCAACCAATGAATGCATAAATAAGTGGAACAACAAATTGATGTTTCTCAAATCAATAAAAATTTTTTAAAAATTTGTTTAAATTTTTTTTTTCTTTTCAAAATTTAGAGCTTGATTTTCTTGCATCTCTTTTTTGTAGGCCTTTGCCCAATTTGATGCTGAAGGTGATGGGACAGTTGATGCTGAGAGCATGTTGGAGGCCCTCAAGAATTCCAGTGGAGCTAATCTTCAGGGGGAGCTGAGTCACATCATCAGACAACTTCAAGCTTGTTCTCTTGTTCCAGGTATAAGGCCTTCATCTGAGTGCCTAATGCCTAAGGGCACTCTCTCTGAGCCAAAATGAACTTTGCAGTATTATGGGTTGTAATTAGGCAAGCTTGTGGGCACTGTGAAATAAAGGTACTTCATAAGGCATATGATCTGAACTACTTCTGTTCAATGTAATCATTTCTTTTGTCCCCCAATACAGTGATGGTTGAGCAGTTCTACCATTTTTATGAACCTCTGTCATGAGACTACCGCTCTTAGTGGGTCTCTTTATTTCACTCTGTTGAAGCCTTTCCTGGCCCCTATTGTACTTTCTCCTAGCATCCTGCATTTCTTTTTTGCAACATAGTAGCATTGTGATTAGCCAAGTAATTACTTATTTGTTAAATGCCTATCTTCACTCTTATACTGTGAGCTCTGTGAGGGTAGGGACCTTTTATTTCTGCTGTGTCATCACATTTAGTACATAATTTGGCACATGGTAGGCACTCAGTGTTTTTTTTTAGAAAGCTTTCACCCTGAACTTTAAGTAAGAATAAAAATAGCTTGAAATTAAGCAATATTTTTTCTACATTGTACATATGTAAAAACTTTGGTTTTGTATGGTTTCTTTTGGGGGCTCAGAAGACAGAATCATCATAATAAAATTACCTTTTTTTCCCCAGTGAGAAAACAAATTTGAAAGGGGAAAAAAAAACTTTACACACCATCCTTTTAGGCTCTGATTATCTTACCTAAGAAGTTTTCCTGCTTTGTGCCCTTGGAGTCATAATACTTAGTATAGAGCCAAGCTAGGGCAGCAACGAAGGAAGAGTTGATAGATACATAATTGTAAATCTGATTGCCCTTGACCTCTGGCTTACTGCTGATGATGTATTAAGCAAGGGAAGGGTGGTTTCTGTATTCCACCGAAGAATGCATATTTCCATTCTTCCTTAAATTGTCTTTAATTATATAATTTTTATAAAATTTAATTGTATAATTTTTATAGGAAGCCTTACATATTAACTTTTTCCTACTCTCATGGCAATTAAAATTATGTTTTGAGTTATGTTTAGCTACCTTATATCTTGGCATTTACATATTACTCACACTTTTGCGTTACTAGCTTGTGACAGCATCAGGAACTTCATTTGAATACCCCAAAGAGATATTTTGGGAGGAGAGGGAAGGAAGGGGAGACCAGGGAACCCACCAACAGATGACACTTTGTGTACTTTGCTCTAAGGTGACTGTGGGGAGAGGGGAGATTAGGTTAGAAAAATTGGGGCTCCAGATCCAAGGCTTAGGACTTTCTACTCACAATGTTCTGTCAGTACCCAACTTAAAAGAATTGTTTTATCACAATCTTGGACAAATCTTAGTAAGCTGAGTCACCTCTTTGGTAGGATTTCAGTTTCTGAGTCTCTTTTTCAAATCCAGACTGAAACTTGTTCCTTTTGTATCTCATTGTACTGGTGCTTAGATTTTTTTTTTTTTAAATATGTTTTGCCCTACCTGGTTTGGCCCAGTGGATAGAGCGTTGGCCTGCGGACTGAAGGGTCCCAGGTTCGATTCTGGTCAAGGGCATGTACCTTGGTTGCAGGCACATCCCCAGTAGGGGGTGTGCAGGAGGCAGCTGATCGATGTTTCTAGCTCTCTATCCCTCTCCCTTCCTCTCTGTAAAAAATCAATAAAATATATTAAAAAAATATGTTTTTATTGATTTTCAGTCAAAGTGGAAGGGAGAGGGAGAGAGAGAAACATCAATTGGCTGCCTCCCGCATGCCCCCTACTAGGGATCGAGCCTGCAAGCAGGACATGTGCCCTGACCTGGAATCCAACAGGGCCTCTCGGTGCACAGGACGATGCCCAACTAACTGAGCCACACCAGCCAGGGGAGTGCTTAGAATTTAAACGAGAAACAGCACCTTTACTGAATCGATTGCTTGTTCCAACATATGAAAAAATATTTCTCATTACAAGAATCAGTCTGTTTTTTCTCATGGGTTCTGGGAAATCAGTGCAGCATCAGCAGGGTCATAATGTGAGGTTTGGCATTACTGTGGGAATCTGCTAAGAAAAGAAAACTGTAAAAGGAGGGCAAGGGATGGCATGGACTCTTGAGTCTTGCTTGGGAGGTCAAACCAGTGTCTTCAGGGTTGTGTAGGGGCATAATCAAAATGAGCTGCTTCAAGTGCAAAATTTCTCCTCAGCCTCATGTTTCATCCACTCTAACATATCTGTTTGTTTTACACTTAAAAACAATTTCTCCTACAGGCTTCTGGAGTTTTGCTCTGGGTGCTGCTTACCTGGGTGTGTTTAGTTTGTGGAAGCTCATTAAGTGATACAATTATAGGTACTTTTTGCTATGTATGTTATGATGTACTAGAAAATAAAAAAAGAAAAGAAAACCCCTCAGATCTACAAGTGTATCTGAGCTCCAGGCAAAGCTGTCATGTTTATCGTCTCTTCACTTGGCCCTAACATTCTTTTGGTTTCTGGGCACCTCAGTTCAAGGCATCTTATTGTAGGTTATGGGGAATCAAGAAAGGCTTTTAAACAGGAGTAGACATGGTCTGTTTTGTGTTTTTATATGATTACTTGGGTTAATGTCAGACAAAGGGTGGTGAGGGGAGCTACTTAGAAAATCTGGGCAGGTGTATGAACGGGAATGTTGAGGTCAGAGCCTGTACAGTGGCCAGAGGGAAGACAGATGGCGGAGCGTCCAGAGGAGTCACATGGGAAAGAGAAAACTAATGGTGGAAGGAGCACTGGAGACAGTGTAAAGGGGTATTCCCAGTCCTACCCTTTTTTGTTGTCTTGGTGTCACCTGAACCTCGTTGTCCTCAGTTGCATAACAAGGATACCAGTAGTTTTGGCGCCCTCCTGTCCCTCCCCCAACCTCACTGTGAGGACCGAGTGAGATAATGTGTGTGGAAGTACCTGATAAACTATAAAATGCCATCAGAAATTGTGGTCAGAGTAGTGGTTGTATTATTACCATTGTCTTATTTAGCTTAGTATTAAAGCTGTTATGCTTTTGCTCGCTAATGCAGTAAGCTATTCCTGGCCCATATTCTATATGCAAAACTTTTAAAAATTTCTAGTTAGTATTTAACTACTTACAATTTTTTGAAGTTTGGGTTGAAACAAATAATCATTATTCTTCTAAGTCTTCTAAAATTCTATTAAACTCAAATGAAATTAATTTTTAAATTGAGATTACCATTGGTTTATTTCTTAAAAACTTGTTCAGATTTTTAAATGATTAAAGCTGAAAATATCAGTGAATTTTGTTGTTGTTAATCCTCACCTGAGGATATTCTTTCCACTGATTTTTAGAGAGACTGGAAGAGAGGGAGGGAGGAAGGGAGAGGGAAACATCAGTGGGAGAGATACACAACGATTGGTTGCCTCCTGCATGTGCCCTAGTGCGGGGAGGGAACCTGCAACTCGGGTAAGCCACACCTGCAAGGGCTCAGTGAAGATTCTCAATGGCTGCTTTTAATTCAGCCATTTTAGATAGGCCACCAGGCAGGGGTGTGGAAACTATTGTGGTGGGTTCCTGAAAACACTGAAAATGGATTTTGTTTGTTTAGGTTTCATAGACATTTTTTCGGAGTCCAAGGAAGGCCTGGGCGTTCACTCGTCAATGATCCTGCGCTTTTTGCACCGCAATCGGCTCTCTAGTATGGTCATCCCCTACCCCATGTTGGACCACTGCAATAACATGTGCACCATGAGGGCTTCTGTTCTGAAGGAGTCTCTGGACGAACTGGTACAAAAAGAAAAAGGTACGTGTGTGTGAATGGGGTGTCCTGAAAATTCTATCATCCTTTCTTTCAAATGTAGTATTAGTAACAGATGAGCACCCCTTCTCCCTGCCGTTATTTGTTAAAATGTCATAGTGACCAGTTTGTCACATAAGAATGTCATCTGCTCACTCTTTCTTCCTTTTCCCTCCCCTTCTCCCTCCTTCCCCTCCCTCCCTCCCTTCCTCCCTTCCTTCTTTCCTTCCTTCCTTTTTAACACACTGGTTTCTTGTCATTCAGGCATCTGCTCAGATGGGACTTCATGGAGCCCTTTCCTCATCTTCTGGTCACTATTACTTTTGCAGGTCTAGTGGTCTGAATGGCACTTAACATCATCTGAAGTTTTAGCATTATTATTTACTTGCAGTTTGTCTTGTTCACTTCATTACCCATGGCACCTGGAACTGTGCTTGCCACTTAATTGCTACTCTAGGAGTAGCTGTTGAATAAATGAGGGAAGCCACTATAGACTCACTTAGTGATGGCAACAAAAGTTGATAATGTGAATAGACAGGTCTGTGGAACTTGATAGAGTTCAGTACATGTGGGAATGTAGTACCAGATATACTAGTAGTCAGTATTACAGATCAGGTGACAAGATGAATGACTCAACATGTGGGGTTAGGACAACTGGTTAGCTACTGGAGAAAAAATAACTAGAATATTAACATATTTTATTCACTAAATTTCAGATGGATAAAAAAATTCAACTAAAAAGAAAACTTTAAGAGTATTAGAAGGAAATAGTTCCAATTTATAAAAACCCTGACATGGAAAACCCTTTCTAAGCAGTGCAGGAAACTCAGAAACTACAAAATAAAAGATTAATAAATTAGACTATATGCAAATTTAAATTTCTGTATGGCAAAAAATGTAAGCAGAGTGAAAAGACAAATGACATTCTAGGGCACAAGAATATTATGACAGGTCGGGGGTGGGCTGGGAGAGGTCAATGGGGAGAAAAGGAGACATATGTAATACTTTCAACAATAAATAATAAAAAAAAAGAAGAATATATGACAGATTCAGTTTTTTACTAACACCGATCTTGGGCAATTAACTCTTTGGGCCTTAGTTTCCTCTTCTCCAAAACGGATTAATACATAAAACATGTATGGAAGAGTACCCAGCTCACAGTATACACTCAGGATATATCATCTATATGTATGTGTATATATACATTATATAATGTATGTGAAATAATGTAAATTGATAAGAAGACTTATGACCCAGTAGAAAATAGATAAGGGTAGGACCAGCTCATACTCAGAAATACAAATGTCCTACAAACTAGTAGCTTAAAAAGTTTCACTCATAATTAAAGAAATGTAAATTAAATTATAAAATACCATTTTCTTCTCTTGGCATGGTTTTGCAAATACATCAGTGATTTAAGTATTGTGCTATAATGAGCTCATGGAGCGGTCCTTGGCCAATTTCTGATTTGTATGGGTTCTTTGGAAGGAGATTTTAAGGAACTTTTTTTTTCTAGGGCCAAGTGCCAAGCATATTTCTATTAGATTTCCCCTCCCAGTGTTCAGCTTTTTATTGCACGTGTCACAGAAGAGTTGTAGTCAAAAAGACCAAAGCCCATGTCATCATCACACTCCTCATATTCTTCTTTCTTTGCCTCCACTTTCTTCTCCTCAGCTGAGGCAGCAGTGGTGGAGGAGCAGGACCCCCACACTGCACATGAGGCTCCCAGTGTTGACATTGGTCAGAGCCTTTGCAAACAAGCCTGGTCAGAAAGGTTCAACATTTACATCGTCACCTCATCATGATGCAGGATGAGGGCAGAGTAGAAGCCGGCGAGCTCTGACGGGGAGGCCATGGTGTGGGCAAGTGTTGGGCGAGCGCTGGATGAAGTGAGGGCCTCACCCCAACTTGGCCTTAACTCCCTCGGAAGGACCAAGCACATACTGGCAGCTGGGGAAAGGGGCTGGGTATTTTAAATGATTCCTTCTGCCCTAGCCAGTTTGGCTCAGTGGATAGGGCATTGGCCTGCGGACTGAAGGATCCCAAGTTCGATTCTGGCCAAGGGCACATGCCCAGGTTGCGGGCTCGATCCCCAAGAGGCAGCCGGTCAATGATTCTCTCTCATCATTGATGTTTCTATTTCTATTTCTCTTCCTCTTCCTTCCTCTCTGAAATCAATATATATATTTTAAATGATTCCTCCTTTTCCCCCCTGCCTTTGTGAAAGAGATGTCCTATGATAAAATCTGGTTTTTCTTGCAGAAAGCCCTGGAGATCTAACTGGAAGCCCAGAGATGGATAAGCTCAAGTCAATAGCAAAGTGCTATGCTTATATAGAAACATCCTCCAACCCTACAGACATTGACAAGATGACAAATGGAGAAACATCATCTTACTGGCAGTCAGATGGCAGTGCCCGCTCACACTGGATTCGGTGGGTGGTATGATACCAATTTTTGAGTGAAAGTTCAAGAAAATTACCTGCTTTCTTTCTCTTATCCCATCAGTGCATTAAAATTTTTTTTTAATTTTAAAATATTTTCTACTTAATTGCCTTGTGTTTTTCTTATTGTGATTATTTATGAAGGTGCTTTAAGAATCAAGTAAAAGCATCAGGTAATATGTAACTTGGTTCACGTGGTCATAAACATAGATAATTTCTTTGCTTGATATTTTAAGGGAGAAAATAGCATTTGGCTAATGTTTTATGATACTGATTTCAGATTTTTTTCACTACTTTCTCAGGAAAATGGTATAATGGGCAAGTACTTTTCATATATCAGATGTGATTTCACTTTTTAAGATTTTTTTTCTGAACATTAAAAACAATTAGTATCAACTGAGTTGGCTAGTTTAGAAGAGGAAGAGGGTAGTCAGGAATCCCAGAGTGAAATTGATATTTCTAGAAGTTCTGAAGCTGCTATGTAAATTTTCATCTATCCCTTCAGAGAATGGGCTAATTTCAGTTGGTGGAAATAGAAATAATTATCATGTCTTGTCAAAGAGGGTTCATATGATCTTTAGCCATCTAATGTGTAGATGAGGACATATGCTTAGTTCTTTGGATACAGTTTAGAATTTGCTTCTTGCCAGGTAAAAGGATTTTATCAGAATGTTTATATTGTATTTTCCTGCCTGTACTAATAGCTTAAAAGGAAATATAAGGTTAATCTTGAAGATAAATGAATTTTAGAGATTTGGGAAAGCATAAGAACTTCGAAACTAATAGCCAGCATTTCAAGTAAGTTGGTTTTAGGAAAATCAGTCTTTGGGAATTTCAAATATAAGGTCTTGGAGATGAGACTTGTGGAACCTGCCAATTCTTGACTTATGTAAACATTTGTTGTTTCTGTTCTCCATTTTTTCCAGTTTAAAAATGAAGCCAGATGTGGTACTTAGGCACCTATCCATTGCAGTGGCTTCCACTGACCAGAGCTACATGCCGCAGCAGGTGACAGTAGCAGTGGGAAGGAATGCCAGCGATCTTCAGGAAGTCCGTGACGTGCACATTCCCAGCAATGTCACTGGCTACGTGACACTGCTGGAAAATGCTAACATCAGTCAGCTCTGTGAGTGAACCAAGAAGCATCTTGCCCTTCTAACTAAGGGGATTGGGAAGGAGGAAGGAAGTACAGTGGGGCCTTGACTTACGAGTTTAATTCGTTCCGTGACGGAGCTCGTAACTCAAATTACTCGTATGTCAAATCAAAAAGTGAACGAGTGAGACACGTGATGCTGGGCTGATGTTGTGGGGTTCACTGTGACGTTCACTGTGCCAACTAGCGGTGGGGTATCTGAAGCTGGCTCGTAACCCGAATTTTAGCTCGCAACTCAGAGCAAAAAATCAGCTGAGAGACGGCTCGTATCTCGAAAAACTCGTTAGTCGGGACACTCGTAAGTCAAGGCCCCACTGTAATCTTTTTTAGCACAGAGACCTCTGAGGTGGCAAAGCTTTTAGTTTTTCTTTGAAGATTTGATATGCTTCTCATGATGCACAAGAAATGATTTCACCTGTTTAGTGTTTTTAAAAGTATAGAAAAGAGGTAAAACCGTTTTAATTTTTATTTATTTGAGAGAGAGAGAGGAGAGAGAGAAAAAGAGGAGGAGGAGAAGGGGGAGAGAGAGAGAGAGAGATTGGTTGCCTCCCATACTCTTCCCGATCGGGGAGTGAACCTGCAACCTAGGAATGTGCCCTGACTGGGAATCAAATCCACATCCTTTCCGTGTATGGCATGATGCTCTAACCCAGTGGTCGGCAAACTGCAGCTTGCGAGCCACATGCGGCTCTTTGGCCTCTTGAGTGTGGCTCTTCCTAAGCCTTAGGAGTACCCTAATTAAGTTAATAACAATGTACCTACCTATATAGTTTAAGTTTAAAAAATTTGGCTCTCAAAAGAAATTTTAATCGTTGTACTGTTGATACTTGGCTCTGTTGACTAATGAGTTTGCCAACCACTGCTCTAACCAACTGAGCCACCCAGCCAGGGCAGTAGAGCCTTATTTATTTATGTATTCACTATTTTTAAAAAATATATTTTTATTGATTTCAGAGAAGAAGGGAGAGGGAGAGAGAAACATCAATGATGATAGAGAATTATCAATCAGCTGCCTCCTGCATGCCCCCTACTGGGGATCGAGCCCACAACCCGGGCATGTGCCCTTGACCAGAATCGAACCTGGGACTCTTCAGCCCACTACCAATGCTCTATCCACTGAGCCAAACCAGCTAAGGCTAAAGCCTTTCTAAATTAAAAATATTTTATTCTTGTTTTCTTACTGAAAATTAGAAAAATATACATAAACAAAAATTACTCAAAATCCCATTACCCAGGGATATTGTCACTGTGAATTCATTGGCGTGGATCCTTTCAGACCTTTTCTTGTATTTGTGTATGTTGTGTGTATATGTACACACACATTTAAAAAAATAGGTTGTGTACATATATTTACATCTGTCTCTACATGTCTTTTAACAAAAATAGTGACATTCTGTACTTGCTCTTTTGTAATTTTTTAACATGTCATATCATATAGTCATGCATACCTTTAGTGTTGTACAAATATGCCTTAATTTTAACCTCCCCTCTTATTCTTGGACATTTAGGTTGTTTCCATTTTTGTACTCTTAAAATCTTGCTTCACATATAGCATTTTGGAAATAATCACAATTCTGTGATTTATTTCCAGGCTTATTTCATTCAGGCAAGTGGAATGCTTCATGTTTTGTCTCATTTCTTCTAAAGCTTTCCTGGGCCAAAAGAAGTGTTCTTACTTTGCCCAAAGGAACTGAGGCCTAGGGAGGTAGAGTCTTTGTGTCTCACCGCTAGGCAAAGAAGTAGTTACACTTGTGGAGTAGAAGCTTCCTGTCTTACACTGTGTCCTTTTTAACTCTGACCTTCTCCTCTCCAACCCAAATAAGCAATTTAATGACAGCTCTTAAAAGTGGGTCATGCCTATGTCATTTATTTGGACCTGATTATTAAAAATAAATTCTTACAACTGCTATGACCTAGCTACTGCTTTAGAACTAAATCCAAATTTCAGAACTCTAGAAAAAAATTCTATAAATTGTCTTACTATGTATTTAATCAGGATTTTAAAAATGCTGTTTGTGTTAATTTTTAGGACTCATAAATTCCAATGAAGCTTTGTGATGAAAAGATTTAAGCCCCCTTTAGTTTTTTTTAATACTCACCTGAGGATGTTTTTATTGATTCTTAGAGAGAGGGGAAGGGAAAGAAACATCGACGTGAAAGATAAGTATCGATCAGTTGCCTCCTATATGCATCCTGACTGGGGATCAAACCCCAACCTTTTTGGTGTACAGGATGATGCACCAACCAACTGAGCAACCCAGCCAGGGCAGGCCATTCTTAATCTTATACATTATTCCTATGATTCCTTAGATTGGTCAATGCTTTTTTGACAAGTTTATTATATACTAGCTCATTGTATACATTATTTATTTCTGGCATCAAGGTGTAGCTTCAGAATTTTATATTTGAAATATGAATACTATTTTGCTGTTTTTTTAGTTGGGAGCCTAGCTTTGCTGAACTAAAGAAGCTAATCCAATACTAAATTTGTTGTTTGTACTTGACAGATGTTCAGATTAACATAAAGCGTTGTCTTAGTGATGGATGTGACACTAGAATTCATGGTCTGAGGGCTGTTGGCTTTCAGAGAGTTAAGAAGTCTGGGGTCTCAGTCTCAGATGCTTCTGCAATATGGTATTGGTCCCTGCTGACATCTCTGGTGACGGCTTCCATGGAGACAAATCCAGCCTTTGTCCAGACAGTGCTGCGCAATACTCAGTAAGTTACTCTCTCTGCTTTCTAGTTACTTCAAGGTATACTCGTTCTTCTCTAACCCATTAGGGACTGTCACTGAGCAACCGTTGATCATTGATCATGGAGACCTAGTCAGCAGCTCAGCCCCAGATGCCCTGTTGTTTCCTGTTTATGCCTGCAACTCCAGTCCTGTGAAGCAATCACACATGCCATTCCTATTATCCTTTGGGTAACAGTTGCTCACATTTATATGGCACTTTATGTTGATAAAGCACTTTCAGATGCTGTATAGTATTACAGGCATATTATGAAATGTATCTGTAAAAATTATCCCCATTTTATAGATGAAGATATTGTGATCTTCCCTGCGTACATGACCAGGCAGTGATGGATCAATTTGAATCTAGGTCTTTGGACTCCAGGTTCCAAGGGGGGCCCTTTTCACTAATGAATGAAATCTTTTCAAGACCACTATACTTATTTATATTTAAATGTAGAGCACCTTTGAAAATCTTCTTTTTAAAAACTGCTAGAGCAAAAAGACCCAGTAATAACATATAAGGCAAAACAACCAGCTTCAGAAGCAATGAAGTATTAATATTGTATGTATAGAAAGAAACCTTATTTAACTACTTAGCACCATGATGACTGGGGAAAAAAGGGATGTATGTTATGTACCATGTTTTGTTTGTTTATAAGGGACTTATCGAGACAAGCTTTCTGATGATTTCTTTTTTGTCTGATACACTGTTAAATTTATTTTTTTGCCTGGGTTTGTCCTGATTTTACATTTTACCCTTCTAGGAAGGCACTGCAGCACATGCCTCCACTGTCCCTTTCACCAGGATCTACAGATGGCTCAACTTTCCTGTCTCCCAACGTTCTGGAAGAAGTGGACAGCTTCCTCATAAGGATAACTAGGTAAAGTCAGGGTTGATGGGGTGGGATTTGTGGGAAATAGAAGGTATATATGCTTGTTAAATTTCTAAAAATGTATAAGAGCTGCATTAAAAATGTTTCCTTTTTGGTATAAATTCCATTATCTGGCAATATCACCTGACTTTAGGAATTGGGGGTAAAGAGGGAGTAGTCCTCTGATTCAGCTAGAACAGATGTTCCAAAGTACAAAGTACAAAACTTCTCAGTTCATGTACATCCCCAGCCTGTGGCCTTACTCAGAACTGCTTACTCTATGCACAGATCTAAGAAGCCTGACTGTCTATAAAACTGGGGAAGGGCACCTTGATAGTGGGGATCACTTAGGGTAGGAACATTTAGCTCTGATATAGTGACATTACTATATTAGAAAGAAAACCAGGCCCTGGGCCATCTGGATAGTTTTTAAAGTTTCATGGTCATGTGTTTGAAAAAGGCAGAATAATGTGATGTGCAGTTGATCTAAAATAGGTTTTTGGTGCTTGAAGAAATAAACCCTTACCTCTCTTGCCAAGCCAAATAATTATCCAAGCCTTTGTTTTTAAAAATATGTTTTTATTGATTTCAGAGCAAGGAAGGGAGAGGGAGAGAGAGATAGAAACATCAGTGATGAAAGGGAATCATTGATCAACTGCCTCCTGCATGCCCCCCACTGGGGACCGAGCCTGCAACCTGGGCCTGTGTCCTGACCGGGAATCGAACCATGACCTCCAGGTTCATAGGTCAATGCTCAATCACTAAGCCACACCGTCTGGGCTACCCAAGCCTTCTTAATAGCAGAGGCTTATTGCAGTTGCTTATTTATGTTTGATTTATTTATTTTTGATTTGTAAAGTTTGACTTGTTAAAATTGATATTAGTATTATTTAATGTTTACAGATTAAGGTTACAGAAGTGAGGATTTAATTATCTGATTCTCTGGATTGGTTTAGTTTTTCTTTCGTTTATCTTAAGGATTTTGAAAAAGTATTTCTGGTAAACATATTGGAAGTACATGGCAGGTTGACTTTACTTCAGGTGAAATTCACATGGGGTTTGAGCTTACTTGGATTTTCTCATGTTATTAAGAAGTGAAGTGTTTTGCTCTTTGTTTATAGCTGCTGTTCTACCCCAGATGTGGAGCTGACTCTCCTGGCTTTTGCACTAGCAAGAGGAAGTGTTGCTAAAGTGCTGAGCTCTCTGTGTACTGTCACAGACCACCTGGACACACACTATGATGCCTCGTCCCTCATCTCATCCATGGCATCAGTCAGGCAGAACCTACTCCTTAAATATGGTAAGGAGTGCCATAGGCATGATGGACAAGTCATAAAACCATTGTCCAAGTGGGAATTTCTGGCATATTCTTATCTTTTTGGGTAGTTTGTACACTGAGTTGTTGTAGATATACCACAATTCCTGGATGAATATACCTTCTTTCACTGGGGTTGGGAGGAAGAAGGGGGATGTTGGTTTATTGATGGCAGCATCAGCAGAAGAGGATCTGAGTGTCCACTAGGCTGTACTTCCAGGATTTACTGGCCTAATCACTCAGGCTTGGTAGCCATTTGGTCATAGCCATCTTTGGTGAAGTACAGGAGTGTCTCATTATGTAGGCCAAGAAGGTTGGGAAGTTTGAGTACCTCTCACCTGCAAGAGGGAGGGAACTAGCCCTGACACAATGCAAAGGATCCTTGTCTTAGAATGCATCCCTATGATAGCTGATTGGAGGACATATATGGACATACGTACATGCCTGCCACCGCTTTCCCCTCCTGGGCAATCCATCTTACACTTTTCTATTTGCCCAGGACGGGGCCTCCTAATCCTTCTCAACAGGGAAGCCCATACAGCTACTCCCAAATGACTACAGTTGGCATGTGAGGAACAACTTACTTGCCATTCAGCCTCTTGTGTTAAAGTTTCTGTCCACGAAGTACAGATTGGATCCCATTCTCTTCAGTAATAGAGGCATTATTATGATATATCCGCTATGGTATTGGTACCTTTGCCTTAATATCAGTTAATTTATTTTATGTTTAGTTTTTGAAGTCAGACAATTGATGTCTTATAAATTCAGGTTTTCTCCTAAATTTGGAAAGGTCATTTTTTGGAGGGGGGGGGGGCGTAGCAGTATGGCTGGATGAGAGGGATACATAGTGTCTGGAATATACTGCTTATATTCAGGTAAGCAGTCATTTGGGCAGGGAGCACTGGATAGGGAGGACTAATGGGGGGAGGGGCGGGGAATGTTCGTTATTGGTAATGTTCTAATTCTGGATTGGGTTAGAGGTTCATGGGTATTCATTATATTATTAAAACAAAGGAAAAAAGGAAAGTTTTCAGATTATCATAGCAAATGTTGATTTTTACAATTCTTAGAACTTTAAAAATTTGTCTCGAGGTGTTTTAAAGTAATAAGACTCAAACCCCTAAGACATTATTTATATTTTTAAATGCAATCACAATAAAAATTATTGGCTCCAAAATAGTATTTTGGGAATGTTCCCACCTCCAAATATATTGAATCTATGGTATTAATCTCTATCTTACAGTTTGCTTTGTTTCTGATTAGTGGTTATTCTAGAGAGCTCTTCTTAAACTCACTTAGGGAGATAAGCTGTATTTTGTCTTCTAGAAAAGCACAGAAGATGGTGTCAACTGTTGTCTAATATTACTTCTCTGTTTTAACTTTAAAAAAAAAAAAAATATATATATATATATATACTTTTATTGATTTCAGAGAGGAAGGAAGAGGGAGAAAGAGACAGAAACATCCATGATGAGAGAGAATCATGAATCGGCTGCCTCCCGCAAGTCCCCCACTAGGGATCGAGCCCACAACCCGGGCATGTGCCCTTGACCGGAATCGCACCTGGGACCTTTCAGTTCGCAGGCTGACGCTCTATCCACTGAGCCAAACCGGCTGGGGCTGTTTTAACTTTTAAATGGGTAAATTTTTAGTCAGCAATCTGGGTGGCCACAGGTACTCCCTTTCCCCTGGTGGGGATTCAGGGGATTCAGCGGCCTGTGGTGGCCTTCAGTATGCCAGTTAGTCTCCTGCATATGTCCCCTTTCTAGGGGACATATTTAAAAAATATATTTTAAATAGCTTTCATTTCCTCATAGCGCTGGCTTAATGCACTCTCTCTCTTCCCTGTGATCAGGTAAGCCTCTCCAGTTGACTTTGCAGGCCTGTGATGTCAAAGGAAAAGAAGAGAAGTCGGGACCTGAAAACCTCCTTGTTGAACCATGGACGAGGGATGGTGAGTGGTGGATCTGTTTCCAGTGAATGAAAAGAACCACAGTGAGCTCACTAGACAGCTTTGTGAAATCGCACGCTGGACTGAGATTTTCAGGATACGCAGTCATCACGTCACGTTGCCCTTCAGATTGACAGTAGTCCCAGAACCATTGGTGTGGTTTCTTTACTACAGCACTATAATCTATAATCTAGGTGTCAGTCACCTGTAAACAAAGTAGTTGAGAGCCTTTGGAAAGCAAGGACTCTTTCTCTTGGAATATAAAAAGTTACCTTTTCAAAGTTCAGATTGTTTATTATGTTATCTTAAAGTTTAAGAAACTCAGTGGATCAGTAGCACTGTAGAGCTGAAAACATAATTTAAGAAGAGGGTATTTTCAGTCTGGCCAGTCTGGCATTTGATGTGTGGGAAGCAAGCCTCACTCCTTCCCTAGTGTCAGCATGATAATCACTGATGTTCTCTTCAATGTTGCGGTAGCTCTTTTCCTCATCCAGCGGGGTGTTTGTGAGTCTCTTCCTCGTCCATCTTGTTGGCCAGCCAGTTAGTCTCCTGCATATGTCCCCTTTCTAGTCATTTTTCTGCTTTGATTATTGCTAATTCAGTAAAGGAAGTGGAATGTTCTAGCAATTGTGAAAAATTGAAAGGAATTGGCCTTACTGCTTTGAGTTTGGTTTGTCCTTTGCTTTCCTCACAGCAACACAGATCTCACACATTCTCTATGTCCCCTCTTCTCTGTTCTGTTTCCTGTATTCATTCTTTTTAAAAATATATTTTTATTGATTCTAGATAGGAAGGGAGAGGGATAGAGAGATAGAAACATCAATGATGAGAGAGAATCATTGATCAGCCGCCTCCTGCATGCCTCACACTGGGGATCGAGCCCACAACCCAGGCATGTGCCCTGACCGGGAATTGAACCGTGACCTCCTGGTTTATAGGTCGACGCTCAATCACTGAGCCATGCTGGCCGGGCCTGTATTCATTCTTAGTACCAATGAAGTAAAGACCTCTGGGAAAACGTGCTTTTCCCCGTTGCACCTCCTCTACTTGGTAGTCTTCTTAAGCAATAGACTCTTGCAGTAGACAGTCTTTCTTCCTGAGCAGCTCAACCTCTGCAAAGACATTTTCTTCACTGCATCCATTTCCTGCGATACTGAAGGCCACCACAGGCCTCTGAATCACCTTAATCCAAGGTAGGGTTGGGAGGAGGCTGTGGCAGCTCTTTTCCTTTTCCCCTCTCCCCCTCCCCCATCCAGGAAAGGCAAGACCAGACCACTCTGCCAAAGGCTCTTTGCATATTCTGTGGGTTTAAACAAATTTATAATGACATTTATTCATTATATTATACAGAGTACTCTCATTGTCTTAAAAATCAGTATGTGCATTTTTAATGCTATTCTAAGTTTGCAAGAACCACGTTTTTTTCTGTAGCTATCAGAAGCATTTGCCAGCACTATGCCTGGTCTGATTTGAATACTTTGTTATTCTCCCTGTGTCCTATCCACGTACCTCTTCTCCCTGGGATGGATGGGTTTTGTGAACTAGTAGTAGTTTGTGGACTTATTATTTTTGTTGTGTGTGTGGGATGTGAATGGTATGGGGAGGAGACTCAGTTTCTCCTGGCCGCTTGCTCAACAGCCATCACTAGCTGGGTCTTGTAACTCCAGTAGGTTTTGGTCTTGCTGTACTACCAAAGCTGGGCCTGAGGACACAGGTGGGACAGGGGAAAGTCCTCTCAGCCAGAACTGCTAGGTTTTGAGGAGTGATTTGTTTCTTCCTCTTAGAGGCAGGAAAGCCCTTTTCCTGGTACGCTGTAAACTCCCCAGCTGCGAGAACTATCAGGTCTGGACTAGTGCCACTTGCTGCACAGAGTGCCTGAGGACCCCAACATTGGCACTTAGAGGGCTGACTTTCCTGGGAGCCAACGCCGCAGTCTGGTATTTTAAAGGAATGCAGGGTGCTGCCAATATAACTGAAGGGGTAGATTTATTAAATTCTTTAAATCTGTGATTGGTTATTTTCCCCCTTGGCATTTTAAGATCATAAATTGAGTAAGGGTGCATGGTTTCAAAACAAATGTTGCCTTAAAATATCACAATTACACACATGAGCTGTGTTTTGTTTTGTTTTTTACCAGTAAAAGGAAGCAGAAAGGTTTCATTTTACCTCCCTCCCTCCTTCTCTCCCTTTCTTCCTTCCTTCTTGTGCTTACATGTGTATTTGGTGGCAGTGTTATTTAAAAAGAGCCTGATTGCCCAGCCGATGTGGCTCAGTGGTTGAGCGTCGACCTATGAACCAGGAGGTCACAGTTCAATTCCCAGTCAGGGCACATGCCCAGGTTGTGGCTCAAGCCCCAGTAGGGGGTGTGCAGGAGGCAGTCAGTCAGTGGTTCTCTATCATCAATGATGTTTCTATCTCTCCCTCCTTCTCTGAAATTAATAAAAAAATATATATTTTAAAAAATAGATAAAAAGAGTCTGATTCTTTTGACTTAAAGTATTGCTTTGGCTACTTTGAGACTAAAAGTGCTGACTAATCAGTTAATTTCTAGGCAGTATTTCAGCCTTTACAATAGATTTGATAAGATAGAGGCATCCAGACCCCTGGGAAAGTGTCAGTTCAATAATTGATGTAGTTTTTAGTATTAATTGCTTAGTGGAATTTGTGTGATTTTTCTGGCTATATGGTTTCTTAAAATTGTTTGTAGAATTACTATTTGATAGAACTAGATTATATAATAGCTACTCTCTGTGAATTAGTAAAGGTTTTTTTGGATTTAAATTTCTTGGTGTTGGTGACAAATTTTGCGTATTGTCTTATGGAAATTTGACTTCACAAATTTTTGTTTTATTGAACTCCATATAATGAAGTAAGAAGCATGAAACTGGTTTAGTGTTTTCCTCTTGATAAGGCAGAATGGTCTAGAGCAGTGGTTGGCAAACTCATTAGTCAACAGAGCCAAATATCAACAGTACAACGATTGAAATTTCTTTTGAGAGCCAAATTTTTTAAACTTAAACTCTATAGGTAGGTACATTGTTATTAACTTAATTAGGGTACTCCTAAGGCTTAGGAAGAGCCATACTCAAGGGGCCAAAGAGCCGCATGTGGCTTGCGAACTGCAGTTTGCCGACCACGGGTCTAGAGCAATTCATAGTCCCAGGAAGAATGGTTGGTTAGTGCTGACTTTAGCAGATGCATTTACAGAGGTTTGAAAGAGAAAGGCAGCCTTGGGTGTAGCAGCAGGCAGTTTTGTGAATTATTAAAGAACTAGAGGCCCATTGCACGAAGATTCGCACAATAGGCCTTCCTTCCCCTGGCTGCCAACACCGGTTTTCCTCCGGCACCTGGGGCCCAGGCCTTTGGTCCAGCCGTAGCGGAGAAGCCAAGCCTTCTCTGCTGTGGCTGCAGCGAGGCTTGGCTTCTCCACTCGGGCCGCAGCAGCGAGGCTTGGCTTCTCCTCTCCGGCTGCAGCAACGAGGCTTGGCTTCTCTGGTTGGGCCGCAGCGAGGTTTGGCTTCTCCGCTCCGGCTGCAGTGGAGAAGCCAAGCCTCTTCAGTCTTCAGTCATCTTCAGTCTTTCCGCACCTGCATATGCAAATCAACCGCCATCTTTGTTGGGTTAATTTGCATACTCATCCTGATTGGCTGGTGGGTGTAATGGAGTGACACCAATTTGCATGTTTCTCTTTTATTAGTGTAGATAATTAACAACAAAAAGGGTAAACTGTGATCTCATACAACTATAAATTGAACACATCAAACATTTTATGTGTGTCATTAATGAGGGAACCAGTAAGATGTTACAAAAAGTTCAAAGATTTCATAAAATACACATAGACCAGTAGGAATGCTGACAGGAATCTACAAATACATACAAAAATGGTCACTACTCATAAGGAATAGTCAGCTGCATTTCCATAGAACACAAGTTTTATTTTTGTAGACAGGAATCATTTGCGTTACTGTCATTAGTCTACAATTTACAGAATGTAAAATAGCCTGAGACCATGAAAGGTGGAGATAACACAGTGTGCTACACAGAACATCTAGGAATCTTTTTTTCCCCATTTTAAAGTCTTTCACAACAGAGTCTTCTAAAAGCTATCTAATCCCTCTTTCAGCCTCTAAGCCTGCTTACCTTTGTCAGGCAAGTCAAACATCAGTCATTGTTTTAGGAATGGCTCAGAAAGATGATTGATTGTCCAGTCTTTTGTCTTTTTGAATGAAAGTCACAGTTTTTATAAACTTTTTTATTTCTGTATAATCTCAGAGCAGGGCTGCCAATAAGATTGAGCCAATTGTACCCTGAGGAAGTTGTGCCTGGCCAGTGGTCTGATACCTAGGGGTTTGTCAGTGGGGTTGAATCTGTCCTGAGAGGAAATCTTTTCCTAATTTCCATGAAATTCGAAGATGAACTAGTTATCCCCTGCCTCAAAAGACATGGTTTGTTTTTGTTGATCTTAGTTCTTAGGGTTATAAATAAGTGTCAGTCATCCTAATTTTAGTTTTTCTTTTTTTGCAGGTTTTCTCACAGAGACTGGAAAAACCAGAGCAAGTACTATTTTTTCTACAGCAACTGAATCTGCCCTCCAAGTTACACAGATCAGAATTATGGTAACTCTTCTGTTATCTTCTTTAAGCAATATTACTAACGTTTTTAAAAATAGGGTTACAGTTCAGAGGTCCATGTCATTGTTTTTCATTGGACATTGAATGATTTTTATGTCAGGCCTGTAGCAGAGGGCAGGGACACAAAGGTGAATAGATTCTTAAGCTTGTGAATGGTGTGAATATAGGATTGAGAAAGGTAAGGAATCATTTCTTAGGATGCAGCTTTCTAACTTTTCCAGGACTTAATGTATTTGATTTCTCCTGTTCTTTCATTTGGGGCATGTTTCTTTGTCTCCCCATTTTGGCTGCCTCTCTGTATTTGTTTCTATGTATTAGGTAGATCTGTTATGTCTCCTAGTCTTGGAAGGGTGGTCTTATGTAGTAGGTGTCCTGTGGGGCCCAGTGGAAGTGTCCTGTGGGGCCCAGTGGAAGTGTCCTTGATCACCTGAGCTAGGTGCTCTAGGAATGTCCCTTGTGTGGATTATGTGAGCTCTCCTGTTGTAGTTGAGTCTTGATTGCTATTGGTCTGTCTGTGGGTGGGGTTGACCCTCAGGCTGGCTGACTATGAGGATTGACCGCAACCACAGTGTATGAACTGCTGTGCAGGGGCTGACACCACGAAGTGAAATTTGTCCCAGAAAGGTCTGGTGTCTGCTGAGATCTCCCATTGAGTGTGCCACTTGTGGAGCTAATTGGGTCATGCTCTGATGTGGTCTGAAGCTGGCACTGGGTTTGTTGGTTCTGGGTGTGCCTCTTGGGAGGGACTCTTGTGCAGGTCAATGTCAGACTCTGTCTGTAACTGGCCCTGAGCTACCCATTAGGAGCTACAAAAGGTTCTCTGGTTTGGTGGTTGCCTCTGCTGGGCCTGGGTGTGTGGGGGAGGGGCCGAGCCATGTACTGAGGCCAGCTTCTATCGGTGTTGAGTCTGGGGCAGGTCAGCAAAAGGCCCAGTGCACCCTGAGACCTGGCTCCCACCTGCCAGGTGCCTGTTAGGCTCAGCCATTGAAAGAGCCTCTGGTGGTACACAAGTGCCATGAGGCAGCTTCAAGTCCCCAGGCAGATTCAGACTTGGCACCAGCGCTGGGTCTTCAGCCACTCAACCAAAGTCTCAGAGTACCCCAAGGCCAGCCACTCTCTGCTGGGGGCTGTGGACCTCTGTAGTGAGGCAGGGTCTCTGGGAGCCATCAGGTGAGGCCAGTAGAGTGCCTCAGGGTAAAACAGATTTAAGATTTGGCCATGTGGAGGGAGGTCTCTGCAGGAACAGTGACACTGGGTTAGGGTATTTGGGGGAATAAATGGCCTTTGCCCTAGAACCACACTACTCAGTCTTTTCTTTTATTTTTTAAAATATATATTTCTTTATTGATTTCAGAGAGGAATGGAGAGGGAGAGAGAGAATCATTGATTGGCTGCCTCCTGCACACCCCCCCATTGGGGATCAAACCCACAACCCAGGCATGTGCCCTTGGCCGGAATCGAACCTGGGACCCTTCAGTCCACAGGCCGATGTTCTATTCACTGAGCCAAGCCGGCTAGGGCAGTCTTTTCCTGTGCATCTCTGACACCCCCTGAAAGATTGCAGTGGGCCCAGGCTACCTGCAGCTAGCTAATTCCTCAGCAGTGCAGGAGCTTGGCAGGGTGGGGCCACAGGGAGGTGGGAGATTGGGACTAGTAGATCTCCCATGTGGGGTGTGGCAGTGTTCAATCTGGGGGAGGGGAGAAATGGCCCCAGAGTCACAGGTCTCAGTCTTTCTCTATGTGTCTCTGACCTGAGTCTTCCCAGACCTCCTAAGGAGCTTTCCAAGGAAGACTGCAGTGGGCCCAGGCTGCCCACAACTAGCTGATTCCTTGGCAGGGCGTGAGCTTGTCAGGGCAGGGCCACAGGGAGTTGGGAAGGTGGGGCCAGTAGATCTCCCTAGGAAAGATGGTGTCTGTGGGCAGTGTGGGAGAAGGACTCAGCACAGAGACAATGGCGGCTGTCCCTCTAGCCCTCTCCCCAAGGCCATACAACTCAATCTCTCCCTGAATAACTCCTGTTTGCTCTGAGCAGTCATCCTTTCACTGGATGAGTACCCGAGAATGAAATTTTGTACACTGGCCCTGTAAGAGGGACCCTGGGTTTCTAGCAGACTCCCTGCTGATTTTCATATCCAGTTGTTACGGAGCTCCTCTTCCTGGCTCTGTACTCTGGGCTGGGGAGCCCAGCTTGGGGTTGAGACCCCTTGCTCCTTAGGGGAGATCTTTGCAGCTGAGATATTCCTCCGGATTCTCAACTGCCATGTGTGGGTGCAGGGCCAGTCCTTTTTGAATCTCTGTCCTTCCTACCAGTTGCAATGTAGCATCTTCTCTGTGTCCTTAGTTATAAGACTTCTGTTCAGTTAGTCCTCAGTTGGTTATTCAGGTTGATTGTTTTATACTTTAGTTGTAATTCCAATTTGTTTCTGGGAGGAGGTAACTTTCACTTACTCTGCCGCCATCTTGGATCTCCTAGGACTTAATGTATTTGAAAGATCACTTTGTTGGTTTGATTTTGTTTGAAGCTATTTGAATTTAACCATGTTACTTGGAAAGAAAACAGCCACAGAACTTTGCCCTTCTGCTGTACTTTATCTAGATCTCTGTTTCCAGGTTCGACGTGGCGGCATTGGTGCCCAGTGTGGGTTGATATTTGCCTATAACTCATCTTCCGATAAATTTCATGCAGAAGAACACTTCAAAAGGTTTGAAAAATATGACAAATGGAAACTTAAGGAATTCAGGCAATTTGTAAAAAGCAGGTAAGGAACAGAATAAAAATCTAATAAGATTGTATACATTCTCTTATTGGTGAAATATGCTTTCTTGTCCTTATAGAAAATGTGCCACTAACCCACCCTCAGTGGTCATGAGCATTCATTGCTTCTAACAGCATATGTGAAGATGTGTATTTTAATTTGTTCACAGACTCTTAAGTTGGTCCCCAGGCACACACATTTTCAAGATGTCTGGATAATAGTACACACCTGAATTGTGGGCTGCCTGAGCTCTTCAGTCTTATTTAGCTACTTGGAAATTTACCCATACCCCAACCTCCCTCCTTCTAGTCATGCTTTTATTGAAAATATTTATTAAGCACCTACTATGTCCTAGGCCTGTTGCTAGGCACTGAAGATACTATAATCAGCAAATTGACAGTTGCTGCTCTGTGGAGCTTCCTGTTTAGCTCAGAAGCAGAGGATAAAACTGGTAGTATCACAATACTATGAATACTAGGTAGGAGAAGGTAGAGTGTTCTGGGAGCACACAGTAGAGCACCTGACCTGGTTAGGGAAGGCTTCCTGGAGGAAATGTTTATGTTAAGAACTAAAGGATGAGTTACAGTTAATTAGCCACTTGAAGAAGTGGAAGGAGAATGTCCTGAGCAAAGATAAGAGCAGATTTGAGAACTCAGAAGAGAAGTATGGCATATTCAAGGACCGACAGGCCCCATATTGCTGAAGTGCACTGTGAAGTGGAGAATGGTCAGCGATGAACCTGGAGAGCTAGGAAGAGGGCAGGTCATTAAAGGTCTTTTTGCCTGTTTCAGGGTTTGGACTTTATCCTTAAAGCAGTGGGAGGGTGGGTGGGGCAGGGAGTGGGTAGCGTGTGCTGTTGAGGGAATCTAAGAACTAGATCAGGTGTGTGTTTTAGAAGTACACACCTGCAGTGTGGATTGGAGGAGAGCAAGCATGGAAGCAGGATGAAATGGAAGAGGCTGTCACTGTCACCAGAAGGCCAGAGGTGTGGGTGATCTCAGCTAGAGCAGCAAGAGCAGCAATGGAGAGATGTGGACTGGTTTAAGAGACAACTAGAAGTTAGTAGCAAATAGGACCTGTTGAGTTACTGAATGTAGAGCAGGAGGGGGAAGAAAGCTTAGGCATCAACGAGTTCTAGGGTCTTGGCTTGGGAAGATGGGAGCATTGGTAGAATCTTTCTATGAAAGAGAAAATACCTCGGGGAAAATAGGTTTGTGGGGGAAGATGGTGTGCTTAGTTTTGGTCCTTTTGAATTTGATATTTTAGGAAGCCTTTGATATATTTGATAGCTAGCTGGATAAATAGGTTAGGAGCCTGGAAGAGACATTTGTGCTGAAAGTACAAATACGATAGACATTTAAATGATAACTTTAAACGAATTAGAAGAGGTCATTCTGGAAGTGTATGGGGGCTAGGAAGAGAAGCAACCTTAGGTCAACATGCTGAGACCCACCAGCATTTAAGGGGCAACAGAGGGAAGGAGACGAGAAAAACAGCCGGACAAGCAGGAAAGCTAAGCATGTGTCATCATGAAGCCAGGTTGAGAGAAGTAGGGAGTGGGCAATGGTGTGGAATGTTACCCAGGAAACAGTAAGATCAAGTCTAGGAGTGGACCTATTGAATTTAGTTGCAGAGGTCATTGAGCAGTGTTGCCCCCTTGTTACTAGTTGCAAGTTCAAAATCATGAAGTTGAACCCCAGGCTTGCTGTTTTTGCTACTATATATCACAGGTAATGGGGTGCTGGAGTTAACAGAAGCCTTTAACTATCGTCCAGTACTGTATTACTAAGCTTTAATGTACAGATGAATCACCAAGAATTATGTGAAAATGTGGATTTTGAATCAGTAGTTCTGGGTGGGGCCCGATACTTTTATTTCTGACAAGCTCCCAGGTGACTCTGATGCTCCCATCCACAGACCACTTTCTGAATAGGAAGAATCTGGAAAAACTCCCTCTCTTTGCTGTATTTCCTTTGGTAGCATCCCTAAAAATGGTCATTCAGCCTCTAGAATACTCCTTTTTTTAAAATATATATATATATATATATTTTTTTAAATATATTTTATTGATTTTTTATAGAGAGGAAGGGAGAGGGATAGAGAGTTAGAAACATCAATGAGAGAGAAACATCGATCAGCTGCCTCCTGCATACCCCTCACTGGGGATGTGCCTGCAACCAAGGTACATGCCCTTGACTGGAATCGAACCGGGGACCCTTGAGTCTGCAGGCCGATGCTCTATCCACTGAGCCAAACCAGTCAGGGCAATATTTTTATTGATTTCAGAGAGAAAGGGAGAGAGAGAGAGAGATAGAAACATCAATGATGAGAAAAAATCATTGATCGGCTGCCTCCTGCATGCCCCCTACTGGGGATCAAGCCTGCAACCCAGGCCTATACCCTTGACCGGAATTGAACCTGTGACCTTTCAGTCCACAGGTTGAGGCTCTATCCACTGAGCCAAACCAGCTAGGGCAGAATACTCTTAATGATAGAGAATTCACTACACTACAGTAATTGGAATATGTTCAGTTGAAATCTATTTTTATAATTTCAACTCAGTGGTCTTAATTCTGCCCTCTTAATAAAAATGATCAAATTTTCCTCCTAAAATCTCCCTATATGTCTCTTTTTTTCAAAGATATTTTTCTTTTAGAATAGTAATTAGAGATTATAGTCGTTTTTAAGTAGCCATGTCTCACTCTTGGGGCATATTAAACTAGGTCTTTTTTCCTTAACCTGCTTGTCAAACAAGATCTTTCACTTCTTATATAGGATGACTTATTTTAACCTCAATATAGGCCTGTTTGCTACTCCCTTGCTGATTTTACCTCTGGGTTCAGCCTGAACTACTTTGGAATCCTGATTTGGTTGGCCTACATATTATCAGTGCCTTTCCAGTTTGGAAGTCAAAACTTTAATGTACATGCATCTATCTTTTTGCTTTTTTTTTTCTCTGTCCAGACAATGGTCAGTCAGCTCCAGGACCATCTGTTTGGTTGCTGTGTACACTTAACTACTAATACTCAGCTTGCTTCTCTCCACCGTGCCTGCTGTGTGGTGTAGTGAAAAAGGTTGCTTCTCTCTGCTCTTTGACACCCTGCCACCTCGCTGAATCTCAAAGATTTCTTTGAGCCTCCCAAAGAGTAAATTAAAAAATCCTCAAACACATAATATTGATGAAACAGGATTTTGGGCCGAGACAAAATACCAGCTTTCCCATTGGTTTTAGGACTAACTATATTGTGAAAGGTTGATGCTAAGAAGGATTTATGTTAAAGAGAGAATATTTTTTTCTCTGTGTTACAGAACCTACTCTGGATCCTTTGTGTTTTCCCTCTTGCTGTAAATCCTGTGCTTCTTCTGTCCATAAAGGATATCCATGTGATGCTAGCTTGTTAGCTATATCACAAGCTACGTAGTCTGAAGTTAGAACGATTACTTGAAAAGACTGCCTTTTCTTTGTCTTGGTTATTTAATTCCTGAAGGAGTACCATTCAAGTGTCTGGTTTTTATTTTATTTTTAAAATATATTTGTATTGATTTTAGAGAGGAAGAAAGAGGGAGAGAGAGAGAAACATCAGTGATGAGAGAGAATCATTGATTGGCTGCCTCCTGCATACCCCCAATTGGGTATCTAGCCCAAAACCTGGGCATTTGCCCTGACCAGGAATCGAACCATGACCCTAGGTCGGTGCTCAACCACTAAGCCAGGCCGTCTGGTTTTTAAAAAGAAGTGGCACACAATTGTGCTTCTTTAGCCTCCAGGGTGCACTGCTTTCCTGAAGGACTTCTTAAGGAACAGGAGAAAATGCTGAGGCTTCTGCAGGCTGAAGTTTTCCATTTTTGGAGCTTGAGGACCTGGAGGCTGCCCAGCTTTACCCTTCAGTTGTTGCTAGTGGCCCAAGCCTCGGGCTGCTCAGACGTACATTAGCCAGGGAAACAAAACTGAACCTGCCTCCCATTTGGTTCTTTCCACAAACACATACCAGCTGTTGCATTGTACCCTACTCCTGAGTAGCTCATCTAAGATGCCTTGACTTCATGTCTCATTCTTCAGATAAACCAGTTATCTAGAGAAGCAAACTTTCTTTTTAGTTCTCAGATTACATTTGGGACTGATAATAATTCCCATTTCACGGATGAGAAGGTTTGAGAAATGGGGAGGAAATTACCACAAACTATCTTATATGTTAATTGACAGGCCATATGTACAAGTTAAATGACACTTACATGGTGTCTTATTCATTGAACCCTTGAGAGGTTTAGGAATATGAAAATGTTTGTGATTGCCTTGTGTTTATAGGATTGGTTGCTCACCTGATGATCTTGGAGAGGATGATCCTATTGGCTGGTTTGAGCTGGAAGAAGAGTGGGATGAAGCAGAGATCAAGCTGCAGCAGTGCAGAGTTGCCAGAGTAAGCATTATTGAGTTGTGGCCTTCATGTATTGGCCCACTCCCCTCCTTTTATTCTGTATTTGTCGAGTGGTTATTGTGTATCAGCCATGTGCCAGCACTGGAACCCATGAGGTGAATCAGACATGATTATATGACCCTCAAGGAGTTTATAGTCTAGTGAAGCGGTTCTCAACCTGTGGGTCACAACCCCTTTGGGGGTCAAATGACCCTTTCACAGGGGTCCCCTAAGACCATCGGAAAACACATATATAATTACATATTGTTTTTGTGATGAATCACTATGCTTTAATTATGTTCAATTTGTAACAATGAAAATACATCCTGCATATCAGATATATTTACATGACGATTCATAACAGTAGCAAAATTACAGTTATGAAGTAGCAACGAAAATAATTTTATGGTTGGGGGTCACCACAACATGAGGAACTGTATTAAAGGGTCGCGGCATTAGGAAGGTTGAGAACCACTGGTCTCGTGAGAGGCACAGATGTATGTGAGACTGATATGGGCTGATATACAGGGGGCTCTTGCAGCCCAGAAGAAAAATATCTTACCTAACCTGGAGTTCACTAAGGAAAGCTTTCCAGGAAAGGTGGTGTGATGCTAACTATGGAAAGTTGATTAAGCCACCATCTTTAGCCAGGATAAGTTGTGCAGAGAAGGGCATCTCAGGCTGAGAATGGCAAATGCACAGGCATAAATGCAAGAGAGATGTGTTTCCATAGCTAGGACATTATCTGGCTACTTAATTTTTTTAACCTCTAGTGTAAGTCTTAGAAGCTTAAATAGAGAAATAAGAACTATCTTTGGGGTTTACACTTAGTAAATGCTCAGTAAATATTTATGCAGTTGAGGAGTGGATTCTGAAAGGCCCCTGACCAAGGAGCTTTCACTGTAAGAAGCAGATAGTTTGCACAGAAGTTGGGTTTTGAAAATAGCTTTAGCTTTGAGCAAACAAGGCTGTGTCCTGGGCCCCCAGCACATGGGTTGCATATATCCGCTGGGAGTTTGAGGTGCTTCCTCATGGCATTCATGGACTGTTTTTGCCATATAACTGATTTCTTTTTTTTTTTTTTAATATATTTTATTTATTTTTTTACAGAGAGGAAGGGAGAGGGATAGAGAGTTAGAAACATTGATGAGAGAGAAACGTCGATCAGCTGCCTCCTGCACACTCCCTACTGGGGATGTGCCCGCAACCAAGGTACATGCCCTTGACCGGAATCGAACCTGGGACCCTTGAGTCCACAGGCTGACGCTCTATCCACTGAGCCAAACCTGTTAGGGCATATAACTGATTTCTATTCAAAAAGACTGTGCCATAGAGCAAACATACTTCTCTTATTCATCCTGTCTTAATCCTGTTTTTGAGGAGGGAGTAATGACATTTCTCTTATTACGATCTTTCCCAAACCAGATTTCATTCAGCATTTGTATTGTGTGTGTTTTCCCCCCCTATTTGTTATAGATGCGTCCCCAGTGGTAGGCATACTGGTACCTCATAAATTGTAAAAGTCATAGGAGCACCTTCCAAAGAAGGCTCTTATCGCCCTTTCATCAATATCCAGGGCTCTTGAGTCCTTCGCCTGAAATCTCTCTTGTCCTTTCTAGTACTTGATGGTGAAGTTCCTCTGCACCCGTCAGGAGTCGGCAGAGCGCTTGGGAGTACAAGGCTTGAGCATCAGTGGCTACCTCCGGCCTGCAAGAGCAGAAGCAGAACAGAGTGCCATCTGTGCTCACTGCAGAAAGGACATGGAGGAGAGTGTCTGCGGGGCCTCACTGCTCCTTAGGACCCTTCAGTTCATCCAGCAGCTTGCCCATGACCTGGTAGTGTTTCCTCAGTTGTTAGACTTCACTCCTTTGGGAAAATAACGACAGTGTCCAGGGAAATGAACACCAGTCAGTGGAACCTGGCCGTGCTGAAGCCATGCAGTATCAATGAGTGGGGAGGCATCATGCTGTGATGACATTGGAAGGCCAAGGGGAGTGAGGTACTGGTCATTGAGGGCATCAGTCAGTGAAACACTAAGTTGCTTATGGCCACCATTGTGAGGGTTCCTAGACTAGACATACAAACAGAGCTTAAAGATCCCCAGCTAAGGTTGCCAATGGCAGACTGGGGAGTTGAAGCAAGTTTATAGGATTTATGTCTTCTTTAAGGACAATTATTCCTGAAGTGTAGGTAAATTCTATTTGTTTATTAAAAGTACCAAAATAATGTCAGAATTTGAAATCATTGTATTTTTCACACTGACTTCTACAGTCACTAATAAAAACACAGTAACTCAAAGGTTAATTCTTATAGCCACCACTATAGAGAACATGGTTTGTCTCAGGAATTCAGTGATGCTCTCTCATGTGGTGTGCAACAGTGTCCACTCTTTTTAATATGTTTTTGTTAATTTTAGAAAGAGAGGAAGGGAGAGGGTTAGAGAGATAGAAATTTGGCTGCCTCCTGCATGTCCCCCACTGGGGATCGAGCCTACACCCGGGCATGTGCCTTGACTGGGAATTGATCTGGCAACCTCTTGGTTCATGGGTCCACACTCAACCACTGAGCCATACCAGCTGGGCAGCAGTGTCCACTCTTGACCTTTATTCTGCTTCAGGGCGCTGCTCAGAGACTGGTAACTCAATTTATATGGTTTGTTTGGTCTTTGTTATTCAAGCTCTCTTATCACAGCAGGAAATAGCAAATGAGAGAGATGCTGAGAAATAGCAGGAGCATTTATAGCAGAATTGGTCTGTTAACCTACATTCAGGGAAGGGTCAAAATATACTGTAATGTGGTCCTGGACAGTAATCATCATCCAGTGAAGACTCATTTATGTTTCAGGTGTGGTGTTGATGAAATCAGGGAGCCTCCATGGGTGTGTGTGTGTGTGAGAGATCTATACTAATAAAAGGGTAATATGCTAATTAGACCAGGTCGACTGGCCATCTTCCGGATGTCCCACTTCCTTCTGGACAAAGCCATGATGGTGGGGGCCGAGGCAGAGGCAGTTAGGGGCGATCATGCAGGCAGAGGCAGTTAGGGGTGATCAGGCCGGCAGGGGAGGGCAGTTGGGGGCAAGATCAGGCCAGCAGGGGAGGGCAGTTGGGGGGCGAGATCAGGCCGGCAGGGGAGGGCAGTTGGGGGTGAGATCAGGCCAGCAGGGGAGGGCAGTTAGGGGCGATCAGGCAGGCAGGCAGAGAGGTTAGGAGCGATCAGGCAGGCAGGCAGAGGGGTTAGAGGCAATCAGTCAGGCAGGCAGAGGCAGGGGCGATCAAGCAGGCAGGCAGGTAAGCTGTTAGGAGCCAGTGGTCCCAGATTGCGAGAGGGATGTTTGACTACCGGTTTAGGCCCGATCCCTGTGGGGGATTGGAGAGGGTGCAGGCTGGGCTGAGGGAACCCCCCACTCCGTGCACGAGTTTCGTGTACCAGGCCACTAGTGTATATATATGTGTGTGTGTGTGTGTGTGTGTGTGTGTATGTGTATATATATAGTACATATATATATAATATGTGTGTGTGTATGTGTATATATATAGTACATATATATATAATATGTGTGTGTGTATGTGTATATATATATAGTACATATATATATATATACACACATTTACATACATATGTACATATACATACCACATACACATGTACATATTTTAGAAAGTTTCACACCGAAAAAGTTGTTCATAGACTTTTTAGTAGTAAAGAGTAAGCATTCATTATATGGGAACTTTATCCTGTGGCTACATCTTCCCTTAACAGTGAGAAGTAAATGAGCCATTATGGTCTTTCTCCATATGCATTTTTAATTTTCTTTTTTCTGGTCTTTAGGTGCAGCAGAAGGAAAGTGGCTTAAAATATAAGTCTTTTCTGGACTTCGCGGGTCTTGATTTGGAGATCTTCTGGAATTTTTACAGTAAATTAAAGCAAAAGTAGGTCAGAGTTTGTGATAAGGTGATAATCATATAAAAACACTGCAGACACTGAGTTTTGCTATTCTAAATGGACTTTTTTTCTTCTAAGTTTTTTTTTTTTTACTTCCCACTAGTTTATTGTTCTGATTTTAAAGATTTGGTTACTATGGAAAATAACACCTAGATATAGAAATAACAAAAAAGTAATATTATATAGAAATTACACATTTTTATAAATCATTTGTGATTTGGGCGGTATTTTCCAAACATTTTCTCATTTGATTATCATTACAACCTTGTGGGATGAGCAGCTAAGTATTATAGCAGTACCCTCATTTTACAGATGAGGAAACAGGATGAAAAATGTATTTCCTGGCCCCACTGTGGGCAGTCAGGTGGGGTCTGTATTTGCAGACTCTACTTAGTACAGTGTTCTTTCCATTCCACCTTTTACTCCTCTGGGTTGGCATTGTTTTCACCAAGCCTGATGTCTAGAGAAGAGTCCTTTGTGGACTGTTAGGCTTTTTTTGGCGGGGGAGGGGAATAAAAGCAACTTGCCTTTTTGCTCTCTGATGTATTTTATCTTTCTGTAGCCCGAGGGAAGAATGCATCTGTGCCCAAACCCTGCTTTTGCAGCTCCTTCAGAGCTGCTTCTTGGTGCTGCAGAGAGACGCCACGGCTGCCTCTGAGGATGCAAAGGCTCCCCGCCAGAGCCCCCGGGCAGTGGAGGCCGCCAAGGAGCTCTATACACACTTATGTGATGGTAGGATTGGGGTTTTCTTTAATGTGATCCTGTGCTAGTCTTGCTGTGCAGAACAGGGGGTCCTCTGATCATGCAAGCCCAGTAAAGGGATTGCTTTGTTGGAAAATGAGTTTCCTTTGATCCTCTTTTGAATCTTATTTTGGTTCAGTGTTTATTCCCTCATCAATAACTTCCTCCTGGCTTCTGATATACGGTTGTCTGATATTGAGAGAAATTATTGTCACACTTTTTAGTCTTTACTGGGATGAGTTTGATAGATGGAGGGAGATATTATAATGATAAATTGAAAATAAAACATGTGACTGACTGAAGTTATTTTTTTTAAAATATATTTTTATTGATTTCAGAGAGGAAGGAAGAGGGAGAGAGAGAGAGAAAATCCATGATGAGAGAGAATCATGGATTGGCCGCCTCCTGCAAGTCCCCCACTTGTGATCAAGCCCACAACCCGGGCATGTGCCCTTGACCGGAATCGATGCTCTATCCACTGAGCCAAACCGGCTAGGGATGAAGTTATTTTAAGTCTTTGCCAAGTTGTGTCTCAAAAGGACAGGGAGCCAAGTTGTGTCTCAAAAGGACAGGGAAATAATGAAATTAAAACTGATATGTATAGTCTTTAGTTAAATGTAAACAAACAAACAAAAAATAATTTCCTTACATTGCCTAGTGTGTACAGAAATATTTCTTTGCTCTGGTATTAACTGCAAAATGGAGAGTAATGAGTTTATAGGCTAGTTAATGCAGATATAGATATAGTAAGTGAATAGATGGAATAAATTAAAGCTGATTCCATTGTTCATTTTTGTCAGTGGTGGATAGGGTGGATGGAGACTCTGTGCCCATGGAAATACTAAAACAAGAAGTCAGGAATACCCTTCTCAGTGGAGCTGCCATCTTCTTTCCTGATCGACAGACCCAGCGGAACCATCTCTTCACCATGATGGTACATATATAAGTTAAAAGTATGGATTATATTCCTGATAAAAATGATGTAATAGAAGGCCTCGCCAGTGCTGTAGAACCAGGAAAAGAAATTTTCAAAATAACAATTGAAAAAAATAAAACCAATAATAATTATTTATAAATGATATGGTTATAGATTATTTGTTATTGCCTGTGTAGACAAGCATCTAATAGGATTACTGGTAAGAGTTTGATATGGAAAATTAGAGACAGCATTCTGAAAAGGCATTTCTATATGCAGCAGCTAATTAACAAATGAATAAAAGTGCTCTGTGGGATGCATAAAAGCTTATTGAAATAAAGGACAGAACAGAAGTGTAAAATGTAGTTTCTGATGCCAAGGTCTTCAGTCCAGTTGGGAACACCTGCCACAAGGAAAAACGAACCCCATAGCATTAGGAGTAGAAGAGAATTGTGTTGATGCTAAATGACTAAGAACGGTTTCAGAGAGGAGGAAGAATCTCTGGTTGTATTTCACTGTCTGCAAAGTTTGCATATCAGCTTGAGACACTGGTTTTCACATTTTGAGTTATAACCTTTAGATCTGACCCACTGGACTGTGGGCAAAGCTCAGTCCTACTTGTTTATTAGAAGTATTTACCAGGCAGCTAAGCAAAGGATTTTGTTTTTGTTTTTGTTTTTTGCTGGCATGTGTCTCACGGAGAAAAATAGAAAGAGTACATATAACCTCTTGAATGACATTGCTATTAGCAGAGCAGCCCAGTGTAGCCTAGTAGCCCCATCAGGAGGTGTGATTTATATAACTGTCACCATAGGCTGTTCTGACTTATATAGAAAGAGCTTAGATCCTATTTAAAAACAAAGTTCACAAGAAATGCTCCCTGTCCCTGCTCTTTCCTCTTATAATGGCATGCCCAGTGATGAAAAGTACTGGTGTACATCTTTTGGAAGTCATCTTCTTAAACATTTACAATGAGCTTTCCTGCAGGAAGCCTTGATGATAACTTTAGCCGTGAACAAAAAGTAAATTGCCATCTTCTGTGTAGATGGGTGGTTCTGCTCCCTCTTAGCACTAGGCCAGGTCTTAGTTGGGCACCATGAGGTGGTCTGCTGACCCCAGCTTTCCTCATGCTTGGGAACAGAGGGCAGGGGCATTCATGCTGCTCTAGGTCATTGGAATGTCAATGAATAGATTTTCTGAATGTGCAGTTTCTTGTTTTCTAGAAAAATGTCACTGAGCAGGAACATAAGCAATCCCTGCAGCTCACTTTCCGCTCCCTGTGCACGTATTTTAGGTAAGTTTGTAATTCTTTGCAATTGTCCAATATTTCAAATCTTTGCAAAGTTGGTTTCCTTAGCTATCCCTTCCTTTCATGTGCTTTTGGAGTAACCAGCTACATCCCTCTGCTCAGCCAAGTTTCTGAGTGATAAACCACTTGTCGCAGGAGTGACTGAAGTAGTGGGAGAATGATAATCTTATCCAGACCTTAATCTAAGTCCCAGTCATTATAAGATAACTTAAAATTGAACCCATTGAGGATTTTTTTGAATACTTCAGTTTCTAAATAATTTTGAAAACAAAAACTGAAGCCCTGTACTGAAGTCTAAAAACCCAATTACATTAAAACCAACTGCAGAAGGGTAGCTTAGCAAAAAAAGTGTGCTTCGAGGGGATGGCTTGGAGAGTTTTGCTTGCTTTGACTTCTAATGGGCCTGTAGGCTATAGACTTTTTTTTTAAGTCCTCACCGGAGGATATGTTTTTTATTGATTTGAGGGAGAGAAAGATAGACAGAGAGAAACATTGATGTGAGAGAAATATCAATCAGTTGCCTCCCGTAACCCTAAGAGGGGATCGAACTTGCAACCTGGGTATGTGCCTTGACTTTGAATCAAACCCATGACCTTTCGGTGTACAGGATGGTGCTCTAGCCAACTGAGCCACACCAGCCAGAGCTGAAGGTATAGACACTTGAAGGAGGGAGATAACTAACAGCCTGAGCTACTGTCTGCAAGTCTAACTACACTTGGTGTGGCTGCCAGACTTAGAGGGCTCTATAAAATGTGTTCAGAGTGGAGTATCAAGGATGATGAAAGAGGCTGGGGCTGTCATGTGAACATATGAGACACGGAATGATTAGCCCAGATTGTCAAGTTAGCAGTCATGAGGTTAGGTGTGTTTCTTACTGGTGGTCAAGGTGGTTTATTCATCAGATTTATTCCTTGGAATCTCTTCTAAGGACTTGAGGATTTATATGCCTGTGCTTACATAAGGACATGTGCTGGGACAGTGCCCCATACCCAGCGGGGACCATGGCTTTTTTCCTGACCCAAATTCATCTCATCCCATTGAACTGACACTGAAGTCTTGCTAGGTTCCTTTTTGGAGCCTTTTAAGATAAAAACACATGTAAATCTACTTCCTGAAACAAGGTGTCGTGACTCATTTGTGTTCTTTCAGTGATAGGGACCCAGGCGGCCTTCTGCTTTTACCTGAGAAAGGCGACCTGGCCGACACGAACATCGGTGAAGTCCTGGCCGTCATGAGGACTCTCCTCTCTGTTGCTGCTCGCGAGGTAACTGATGGTTGCTCCCTGTGGTCTTTGCCTTCTTTTAAGAGCATGTGATAGAGCTGTCACTGTGCCTTCCCCTTCAACCCTCATTTACAGTATGAACGTAGCTCTATTCCTGTGACCATCAATGAGCACACAGATTTCCCAGCCTGCCTTGGCTCCTAATCTGCCAGCTTTTGCAAATGAGTGAGGGGACATGTCTGTGACATGTTTTCTTCACTTGGGCATTTTTGAAACTCATCCATGTTCATGCATGTGCACAGTGTTTCCTGTATGAGTGTGCCACAGTTAATTTATCTGTTATATTATGGAGGGGCAGTTAGGTCCAGTTTAGGGCAGTTACATAGCAGATATGATATGAACATGTCTTGTGGTTCTTATGTGCAATAGTTTATTCCTGGAGGTCAGGTGATTCTTCAGAGAAACTCCGGAGAATAAAGATGATGGTTAGAAAGCCATAGGGGACTAAGAATTGTTTTCTAAGGTGGGAGAGATTTGACGGAAGGCTCAGGGAGAGGAGCCACAGAGAAAAGGGACTGGATGATGTGAGAGGGAAACGAGATAATTGGTGGGGTAAGGTTCCTGAGGGTCAGAAGGAACCTTATGGAGTGAAAACCATTTGTAAAGGTTCTGAAAAGCTGAGGGCAAAAGAGGAGGTGTCGTAATACCTCTTTCTTGGTCACTTCTGGGTTGAAAGCTCTTTTGTGACCATTCTCATTTCCCTAGAATTTTTTTGCCAGTGACAGCTGCTGTCTTAAATGCCCTTGGCTGTGTTCTGTGAATGGCCTTGTAAACACTTTCTCTTTGTCTCCTCCCTTGCAGTGTGAACTGTTGATGCTCAACAAGGCCCAAGCGGAGGTTGGCTCTGTGCTCTTCTCCCTGTTCTGGTCTGTCCAAGGCAGCCTGCTCTCCTGGTGCTACCTGCAGCTGAAGAGCACAGATCCTGGAGCCAAAGAGCTTGCCATTGACCTTATTGAAAAATGTGAGTTTCAGGACAAAATCCATGAAAACAGGTGTTTGGGTTTTGACTCTGCATGTTCTCACTTTTTAGTACTCATTCATTGAATGTGCATATGGTTTTCTTTTCTTGATACAAATCGGATTTGTCTTTGGGTTGTTTTTTCTTCTTAAAATAGAATTCGGTAGCGTATCTTTTTGCCCAAAGTTTCCTGTCTGAATATGGTAGCATGCCTAAGTTTTTTTTATTGCAGGCTTGGGTCATTGCACAACCTAAACATTGCCTCTGCAGTCATATAGCACTTCTAGATGATGTCACACTCTGCAGTCATAAAGCACTACTAGATGATGTCACACTCTGCAGTCATACAGCACTACTAGATGATGTCACACTCTTCAGTAGTCTGCCTTCCTTGTTTTAGTTAAGTCACCCAAAAGGGAAAGTCTTAAACCTTTAGAGTCTAAGGTGTGTGAGCACTGCTGTGATCTTTGCTGATTACAGAAAATATTCAGATTCATGTCCCATAAACCCACAGAAAATTATATGAAACTTAGCAGGTTCTGAGAAATTATATGTGGAAAATTTAGTTCCATCAAACGTGGTCTCAGCAGCTGTGACAAAAATGCTTACACTGTTGAGCCCTGCCACCTAAAGCTTGTCCCATGATATGGCACACCTAGTGATGGCCCATTGTAAACAAAGGGAAAGTAGCAACAGGGTCGGTCAGCCATGCAATTTCATTTACAAAAGTAATATCTCCACCTCTTTGAAAAGAAGCAAAAATGAATTACTCACTCTAAAGGGAATCTTTTACTGGGTTTGCATTGCTTTTCTTGCCTAGAGGAAAGCATTTGTATAGTACTTCCTGGTCTCCTGGTCTTTCTGATGTGGAATTTCCTTCATAGCTTCTGTGACAGCTTACCCTTGATGATGACCAAGCAAGTGATATTTCTCCTGTATAACACATTTTCTTTCTGTTTTGGTAGATGTGGAACAGTTTCTGGGAAGCACAAGATCGATTTTGGAGTCCCTTTTGTCACAGTATAGTGGAAAAACCATAGTAGAAAAACTGTGTAATTCGGTGTTTTCAATGGCAGCTCGACAACTGGTAAGACAAAGTGGCAGCCATTTGTAAAGGGCAGGAGGGTCTGCAGTGGACACTAAGTGCTTTGTTCATCTTCCTTTAGGTAATCTTTCTGCTGGACTTTTGCACTTTAGACATTTCCCACTGCAAACTCTTGAGAGAATTCAGTACCCTAACAGAGTTGTTGAAGAGGCTCTGCAGTGACCCTGAGGGAGGACTGAATAAGGTAACTTGAGTTGGACTTAAACTGCTGTGTATTTCCCTCACGAGTGATGTGACCATGCTTAGTGAAGCATACCACGGTACGGTACGGGTTTACACAGATAAATGTTGTCGAGAAGACCCCCTATATTTTATCAGTGGTTTTGCCAATAAGGATAAATGCCAGTGTGAGTTTATTTGGTGAGGTCAGTGTTAGAAAGGAGACACAGAGAAAGCTGTGCATATATTAACTTCAGAATTTTATAGCACATCTACACTAATAAAAGACAAAGATGCTAATTAACTATACCTTCACTACACCCCAAACCACGCCCACCAGCCAATCAGAGCAACTGTATGCAAATTAACCCAACCAAGATGGCGGCTGGCAGCCACGGAGCTGGAGCAAGCAGGAGGCTTGGTTGCCCAGGCGATGGAGGAAGCCAAGCTTCCCGCCTGCCTTGAGCTGGCTGTGGCCTCCGCTCATGGCAACAAAGTTTCAATTATAGAAGCTAAATAAATCCCAGATACCTGCTTCCAGTCTGCCTCCACTGGGAGCTTGGATCCTGAAGGGGTCGTGGCCAGCCTGCAAACAGCCATCAGCCACTCACCCAGGCTGGCCACACCCTTATAGGGTGAGGGTCCCTGCTGGGGGGCTTGGCCAGCCTGCAAACAGCCATCAGCCCCTCACCCAGACTGGTCAGGCACCCCAGGGGGACCCCCACCCTGAAGGGGCCGTGGCCAGCCTGCAAACAGCCATCAGCCCCTCACCCAGGCTGGCCAGGCACTCCTATATAATAAAAGGGTAATATGCAAATTGACCCTAACAGCAGAACGACTGGGAATGACTGGTCACTATGACACACACTGACCACCAGGGGGCAAACTCTCAATGCAGGAGCTGCCCCCTGGTGGTCAGTGCGCTCCCACAGGGGGAACGCCGCTCAGCCACAAGCCAGGCTGACGGCTGCCAGTACAGCGGTGGTGGTGGGAGCCTCTCCTGCCTCCTCAGCAGCGCTAAGAATGTCCGACTGCAACTTAGGCCTGCTCCCTGCTGGCAAATGTACATTCCCTGAGGGCTCCCGGGCTGCCAGAGGGATGTCTGACTGCCAGCTTAGGCCCAATCCCCCCAGGGAGCGGGCCAAAGCCAGCAGGTGGTCATCCCCTGAGGGGTCCCAGACTGTGAGAGGACACAGGCCGGGCTGAGGGACCCCCCCAAGTGCACAAATTTTTGTGCACTGGGTCTCTAGTAAAGTTATATAAAAACCATGTAAGTGAGTAACCAGAGTGAAATCTAGAAGTGAAAATGTATGTTGCAAGGCACAAGATGGGTTGGTATTTAAAAGAAATTTTCCCTCACTTAACTTTCCAGGATACAAAGTTTTTTCACTATCTTCTTTGAGTCTCACAACTGTAGGAGTAGAAAGGGCATATATTAAAAAGTCAATTTTAAAGGTAAAAAGGCAAAGACTTAAACAAAAGAAGGAAGGAGAGTTGATGGGCTCAGATTTGCTAAAGTCCCAAATAGGACTTTAGGTCTTTAAATTCCTAACTCAGTGTTTTTTCCACTGGAAATTCATGCTAATAGTGATTTGTAAGAAATAGTACTGTTATAATTAGAAAATGAAAGCTAATCAGAGAGTCACAGTAGTGCAGTAGAAACCGCATGTCTGTTCTGCGGAATGTAAGTGTAGGATGCTCTGTGTGTGTAGATGGGAATGTCAGGCATATTTTTAGCCTGTGTGGTGATCTGTGTAGGACTGTCAGGGGCTGTCTAGATCATGGATACGGCACAATCTATTGCGTATGGCTGGATGTAAAGTGATAAAAACCTTTCTTATCTTGTTTGTTTGCATAGCTGGATGTCGAGACTTGGCAACAGGAACAGCCAGTAGTGTTACATACATGGACTAAGGAGTCTGCCCACAACTATGAAAATAATTGCCACGAGGTGTCTGTCTTTGTTAGCCCAGGGGCAACCTATTTTGAGGTGGAATTTGATGAGAGGTGTGAAACTGAAAAAAGGTGAGACTCACATATTCTTCTTTCCCAAGCAATAATGGATCAAAAGTGAGAGAAGGGAAGTGACAGAGATTATGCTTTCACAGGTATGATTATCTGGAATTTACCGACGCTAGAGGTGGAAAAACACGTTATGACACAAAAGTTGGCACTGATAAATGGCCCAAGGTGAGTGGTATTCTCCAAAAGAGATAAAATGCCTACTTCTGTATCAAGTCTTCTCCTTTTGGCATCCCTCAGGAGTAATAGATGTATGTCTTTGAAAAGACGCATTTATATTATATATTTGTAAAAGGAAGTGTTTATATCAGAATTCAGCAAACTACTACTGTCACCTATTTTGTAAATAAAGTTTTTTTTAACATAGCCATGCCCACTGTTTACATATCAACTATAGCTGCTTTGGAACTGCAATTTGCAGACTTGAGTAGTCATAACAGAGATGTATGGCCCAGAAAGTCTAATAATTTACTATAAGGTTCTTCATAGGAAAAGTTTGCCAATTTCTGGTCTATATCACATTGCCTAGAGTAAATGGATAGTTGTAATCCTTAGCAAGAAGGGCCCCAGGAGGGCCCAGACCATGGCAGTGAAAGCCAGGAGTCTCCCTCACAGTGAGGGCTTCATGACCCTGGGGCGGGAGGTTCAGTGCTTTGAACTGCTGACCTTCCTCTGCTGTCTGGGCTGCTGGATGGTAGCACAGCACTGGGCGAGGTGAGCTCTGGCTGAGTAGGTAGTGGACAGAAGGGCATTGGGTTTAGAAACTGACCAGCAGTTTTCTGCCAACTTTGCTTCCTTACAAGGTACAGTTGTGAATTTTCTATCTCAGCCACTCCTTTGTACATTTCTCCTCAGTAGCTTTGGTGGGAGTGATAAGATATAATGGTGAGCCTGTAACCCAGTTTTAAATTGAGATATTTTTGAGTCATGAAGAACATGCTTATTTTTTATTGAAATGCTGCCTCCTCAAACCTGTTTGACCACATGACTTTTTTTGTTTGTTCTAGAAAGTGACCTTTAAGGCTGGTCCTCGGCTTCAGTTTCTCTTCCATTCTGACAGCAGTAACAATGAGTGGGGCTACAAATTCACTGTTACTGCTTATGGCCTGCCAGATGTTGCCGTGTCTTGGGGGTTGGATTTACAACTTCTTGTTTCCCGGCTGATGGGACGTCTTGCTTCCCAGTGCATGGCGCTCAAGTCTGTGCATCGTAAGTCCACGTCCCTGTCCCTTCCCTTCTTGCTACAGCCACATTGAAAAGCAAGGTAGTGCTCTCTCTCCTTAAGGTGCCTCCACACAATGGAGGAGTAAAAGATATTAATAAAATTCTCTTTGTTTCCTTTAAACCAAACCAGAATAAAATGTCTACTTGACACCATAGGGGAGGCTTAGTCGGGGAGGGAGCTGAGTTTTAGTAGCATCTCATCCTTCTTTTATAAGTGAATTTTGGTATATTCCAATAAGAAGGCAGAAATAGAGACTAAATTAATTTTAGTCTTTGGATTTTGTTTTAAAGTGATTTCTTCAATTTAGTTATGAAATTCATCCAGGAAACAAGAACTATATGGAATAAACTTACTAGAGTATTTTATGTCTGTATCATTTCTTGACTTTTCTGATGATAAAAGTAAAATATCATAGAAAAATTGCATAATGGAGAAAAGCCATCCTTAATCCTAACACCCAGAGATAATTATTATCAACATTTTAATTTATTTCCACCTAGTCTTTTTTTCTATGTCTTCATAAACACACATGTGATGAATATTTAATTGTTCAGTTTACAAAGTGTGAACATTTCACCATAATTAAACATTCCTGAATGGTCTCCTGTTAGACCCTAGGGGTGGTTCACAGTCAGTTTTCAGCTTACGCAGATTAGTCATTTCAGAGGTACCTTAGCTGAATTTGCTGCACAGAATGGCAGCGTTTCAGGACTTCCTATGGCTTGGGCTCATTTGGGGTATGCGTTCCTGAAGTTCACAGTTACATTTTGGTAAATGTGGGTGAATTCCCTCCAAGTCTTAATAATTCCCACATTTTAAAACCTTTTCTTCATCAGTTCAAATATTCTTAGTATAGTATGGAAAAAATAGAACTCTCATAAGCCTTCTTCTCTTTCCAGAGTTAGGAAGTAACATGGCAGTACCTCAGGCAAAAATGGCATTAGTCCTAAACTCCCCCTTGTGGAAACCTGTCTTCAGGCATCAGATATGTCCAGAGTTGGGACTAGAAGCAAGCTGGCCCACTCATCCACAACAAGATAGTAAGGAGGTATTTACTCTTCTGTTGTCTTTCTATTTGGAATGGAAAATGCTTACTAATACTTATTACTTTAAATTATAAATGTTTGTGTTTATATCTAATCACCCCTACTAAGTTGTTAGTTTCTTGAGGGCAGAAGTTATCTCTTATTTATTTAGTGTTCCCACTGTGTGCCACAGGGGCCAGTGCATAATGGATGTTCAAAAATATTGAATAGGTGGCTCTTCAGTAAAATATACCAATTGCTCAGTAAATCTCTCTTGATGGAGTTATTAAACAAATATGTTAAGTCTGTTTCTAGTCCCCACTGAGTCAAGCTTTAGAGTAAAAGATTTCATGCTATGCTTTTTCGAGTGGTAGCATGTTATTTAGGCTTACAATATTTAAAACACTAAACAGGTTTGCCTGCTGTCTCTTTTTCATCTCCTTTCCTCTCTCTCTGTTCTACTACTTTTCCTTCCTTCTTCCCTCCTCTGCCCACCCCCAAGTTATTCAGTTAATTTATGAATGCAGGGACTCTTCCTCTCCTTTACCTCTCTGTTACATTTGGTTCCTTTGGACCCTCTCTTCTTTTGATTCCATGTTAGTCAACTGTCTTCTCTTACATCTAACTCCTACATCAGCCTCTCTTATTGACTTCACTTATTTCTCCTGTAAAGAGTAGGCTTAATTCAGGCTTTCTCTCCTTCCCTGCAACCTACCAGACTTTATCCTCTTCTCTCTTCTGCTGTCACATCTGTGTGAATAGTTCTAAATGTCAGTATCCAGAGCTCTGGTTCTTCTCCCAGACTTGCCAGTTACTCATCTTCCTGTTAGGTATTTTCATTTTAGTTTTGACTCCCTTTAACTCAGAAGTATAAAATCGGGATTACTCCCTCCCCCGTCCGTGACTGCTCACTCCTATTATTGTTTTCCTAGGCACTGAGCCACTGTTCCCTAGCATTACCTTTATTCACCTTGTTCTCACCTTTCTATCCAGTCAGCTGCAAGCCCTATAGATTTTCCCTTGTGATGTTCATCTTTCATTCCCTCTGTCTCCATATTTATCCAGGCCCTCATCTTACACTTGCATTGTCACATTGATACCTACCAAGTTTTCTTTCTTTTTTTTTTAATACTGCATTATCTTGTCATTCCACTGCCAAGCACCATTAATGGCTCCCCATTGCCCACAGGGTGAAGTCTAAACTCCTCAGAGTGACAGTCAAGGCTCTCTGCAGTCTCCTTTCACCTTACCTATCTGACTCTAGTTCCCACCACTCCCCAGCTGAGACTTCAGGCCAGGTCAGTCTCCCCACTGACTCTTAACTTCTGCTAATGTTTATGTTCCTCAGGGCCAAACCCGCCCAGTCTTCACGGTCCAGTCCAAAGCCCATCTCCTCCAGGAGGCTTTTCTGAACTCTCTCCTGTGAATTCTCAGCACTGGGTGTCCCTTATAGGCATTTGGTACTTCATAATCTTTTGCTTTATGGTAGTGCTAGCTTTAATGCTTGTAATGTTTTACTTATGTTTACCTTTTTTTTTTTTAACCCATATGCCTGTCTGGTCTCCCCAAAATAGATTTAAACTTCCTGAGAGAAGAATGCACTCTGGTTTATACTTCTGGCCTAGTAGGTGTTCTGTAAACTTTATTTTTTGAACGAATGTCTTAAACATGATTGGTTTTTGTTGTTGTTGTTCCCAGGTTAAGAACATCCCTGATGATCCCTGCCACCGTTTTCTTCTTGATTTTGCACAGTCAGATCCTGCCCAGAACTTCTGTGGGCCATATTCAGAACTTTTCAAAGGATTCATACAGGCATGTAGAAAACAGGCCCCAAAGACAGATATAGTTGCTGGTTCCACTATTGATCAAGCTGTGAACGCCACCTTTGCTGCTCTGGTGTATCGCACTCCAGACTTATATGAGAAGCTGCAAAAATATGGTAACTTATATTACAGGGAATATTTTTCATCTGAAGGCCAATTGCTAAGTTTTAAGAAAGCCTAACTTAAGTAAATAAAATATTTTGAAATATAAATATCCTATATAATAAAAGCCTAATATGCTAAGTGTCCGGTCGCCCAGTTGGCCGTTCAACCAATCAAAGCCTAACATGCTAATGATATGCTAAGGCTGCTCAACTGCTCACTACGTACACTGACCACCAAGGGGCAGACAAACTACTGGTTAGCCAGTTGTTATGATGTGCACTGACCACCAGGGAGCAGACGCTCAACGCAGAAGCTGCCCCCTGGTGGTCAGTGTGCTCCCACAGGGGGAGCGCCGCTCAGCCAGAACCTGGGCTCATGGCTGGCGAGTGTAGTGGCAGGAGCCTCTCCCACCTCCGTGGCAGCGCTAAGGATGTCTGACTGGGAGCGGGCCTAAGCTGTCAGTCAGACATCCCCCGAGGGGTCCCGGACTGCGAGAGGTCTCAGGCCAGACTGAGGGACCCCCTCAACCCTCCCTCCAAGTGCATGAATTTCATGCACCGGGCCTCTAGTATTTCTATAATTATAGACATCATCTTGTTAGGTCTGCTTTGCCAGTCAAAAGATTCATGACTGGAGTATATGGCAAGTAGCTTTGAGTTTCCTAATTAGCAGTTAATTAGTTTCCTAATTAGCAGATAATTTGTCTTATCCAAAATTCTAATGGAAAACAACCAAGAAGTTTAATGGAAAAGAAACCCTTAACTTGGGCTATAGTACCAGCTCAAAAACTAGAAGTTGTGCAACTTCAGGTTAATCTGACAACCTTTCTGCTCCTTAGTGTCCTTATTTATAAAAGTTTAGTTTTGATTAGCTCTCACATTCCAAGAAATTCCAATTAAAACAATTGTTTAGGTAATTCAGTGTGCCATGACTAAGGAGGAAAATGTTGGTATTAATTCTTATCTTTAGACTTGCAGCTTCTTTGTAGCATCATCTCTGCTTGGCTTCCTTTGTTGATAGCCTGCTCCACCATTTCTTTCCATCAGGGATACCATCTCTGTGTATTTCCTGTGTATGTGGCCTGCAGCCTCACAGGACCCACAGGAGGGAGAGTCTCTCTCCATTCCTAATCCTTCAGGGGAAAAACCCATCTAAAGATGAGGTGTGTGTTTTCCCGAGCACTCTGGCAGGTTATGTGCTTTTTCCATGGTGCAGATGAAATAAGCAGGAACAAATGCTTCCTTCCATTAGAGTAGGTAATTGACTGTTGCTCTTATTATTATTATTGATATTAATATTGAAATTATCACTACTGCCTTTATTGCTGAGTTCTTTGGATCTCATATTGCAGAATTTATTTCCTAATTTCCAAAGTATCTTGATTAGTCCCTCAAATATTAATATCTCCTTTAAGAAGTTGCTAAAATAAAACTACATTGAAACATGAGTGACTTAATGGAAACAACCATCATATGAAAAAGTATATCTCTGCTAGGGAATGGGGAACAACGGGACCTTTATGGTTTTGAAAAATTCAGTGTGTTTCATAATCAAATTGTGGTTAGAGAGCTGCACAATCTTTGTTATCTGGGAACTTTGAGTAGAGGGAAAAAGCTTTGTGAGTTAAAAGCTGAGAAGCAGCAAGTTTTCGGCTGGGGAGAGTTCTGCAGCTCCTTTTCAAATCATGTTCAGATAACACATAACTATTTGCAGTAGAGAAACACAATGAAATGTGAGAGCTAGAAATGTTTTGCTGAATACAGGTTGTTCTGAGAATGCCTACCACTGTTGCTTTGAAGAAGACATACTTGGTCTCAGTTCTTTCTAGCCCAGCCTTTGAGGACTGATCGTGGGCTCTTTAAAACTGAGCTACTTAGAGAGTGGTTCTTGTCTAGCTAATTTGCTCATATTTGTCTAAAAATTGGTTACCCTTTTGAGTTAGAAATGTACAGGAGGAGTTTTTCAACTCGACTAAAAGCTACTTGAGGGCAGGACCCATGTCTCTCTTTCTCAGCACTGTATTCCTAGTACCTGATATGGAGCCCAGAATATTCTACATGTTCAGAAAATATTCATTGCATTGTATATTGGTTCAACAAGAGCTTTACACTGTTTTAGTACATATGTTATCCCTTTGGTTTTTAGATGAAGAGAAGGGGCAGGTCTTTCTTTAAAAATCACAACTTTTTTGAATTATAAAAATAATATCCATTTGTGTAGAAACTTACAAAATACAGAAAAGCTTAAAATAATTATCAACTATAATCTCATCATTTTGAGAACACCTCTATTAACATTTTTCTATATATCTACCTAGCAAGTAACAATCACCAATAAATATAGGGAAATATAAATTAGGTGTACAGATATGATAAACAAAATGTATCTAAATAAGAGCATATTCATATTCATATACATATACATATACATACATACATACACACACACACACATACATGCAGGGTGGGGAAAAGTAGGTTTACAATTGTGAGTACACGAAACACAGTTTATTCTTGTATTATTATATACAAACAACTATAAACCTACTTTTGTCCTACCCTATATATATGTTTTTAATGTATATTCTTTTTAAATAAGACAATTTTATTTATATTGTTTTATAACCAGCTTTTTAAATTTAATATATACCATGACCTTTTTTTAATGTCAATAATTATTTTTTGCTCATTTTTAGTATCTGATATTTTACTTTTAATACTTTTCATGTCTTTTACGTTTTTTCTTTTAATATTTTACTCACTTTACTAGTATGTCCATTTCAGATGTTCATTTGAAAAATGTTAGTTTGAAGTAACACAGAGAACCCATCACAGCTATTTGTGGCTTAGTTGATAATTTTTCCCCCATGGCTCTTTTAACCACTCCCAATGTGTGAGTGTCAGGGGAAGAGCTTTTTCTGTGGGTTAGATTTAGAAACTACTCTGTGCTTAGTGTCGCAGTAGTGAATTGTGTTAACTGAATGTAATCTTTTCGTCTCTCCTTTCCCCAGTAAACAGTGGGGGCACGACAGCCCTGAGTGAGGAGTTTGCTCAGGTGTATTCCTTGGCAGATGGGATTCGAATATGGATGGTAAGATTTTCCTTTGCATGTAATTTTTATATTTTTAAAAATTTCCCACCACAGTATCACAGAATTAAGATAAGTAACTCTCTTCTCAAGAATATAACTTTAGGAATGTTTTTTAAACTAAAGTTTAGTGACATGAATGAATATAAACTAATTTAGAATCCTTGAAATCATAATTAGGTGAGTATTGAGAATGTTCAGAACAAACAGGGTTCAGTTGAGCCCACCTACATCCTTAGAAATCCCAAAGGGTACCCTGTGGAACCTGTTAGACCAGGAAGGAAAGCATTACCTTAGGTCAGTGATGGCGAACCTTTTGAGCTCAGCGTGTCAGCATTTTGAAAAACCCTAACTTAACTCTGGTGCTGTGTCACATATAGAAGTTTTTTGATATTTGCGACCATAGTAAAACAAAGATTTATATTTTTGATATTTATTTTATATATTTAAATGCCATTTAACAAAGAAGAATCAACAAAAAAAATGAGTTCGCGTGTCACCTCTGACACGCGTGTCATAGGTTCGCCATCACTGCCTTAGGTACTGGGCAACCACTGATGGTTTTAGTCTGGAGAGAGGCCCTTCTGCATTTTAGAGAAGTGGTCTGCAGCATTGTTTCTGACAGCAATAAACTGGAAGAACAATGTAGGAGAATGGAGAAACAGGTTGCATATTATACTACTATATAATATTATATTACAATGTAAAGTGATAATAACAATACAGGATTATAATGAAAGTGAATGACGTAGAGCTGCATGTATCAGCATGGGTGGTGCTCACCAACGTGACGATAAGCAAAACAGCAAGTTGTAGAAGAATGCATAAGTATGATATTCCTTATATAAAATTTAAACACAAACCAAATCTGTATGTTATGTACATCAATATGTAGTAAAATCATATAAATACATGGATATTATAAACACAAAAATTAGGAGAATTGTTTTTATTTCTTGGGCATGGAGATGAATCCCTATATATCCGTATATCCGTATTTTTTTATATATACACAATCATCTTAAATATTGTACAGTAATTGGGGAAAAAACCTTTTACTTAGTAGAGGCTGGATAATGAAATTGAAAGTAGACCAGTTGTGATATTAGATGAGGATGGCTTCTGCTACCTAGAAGATAAAATAATTAGACTTTGTAATTGATGTGAGTGGTGAACAGGAGGATGGAATTTAGGACCATTCCCATGTTGCTGGGTGACTTGGTGGATGATAGAAGCATTGACCAGAATAGGAAAGATGGTCTTGGATCTGAGAATGGGCAGGAAAGTTCACTTTGGGTCATGTTGAGTATGAGGACATCTAGGTTATCTGAGACATCTAGCTGGAGAATTTAGTAAACATGAAAGAGTTTAAATGGCTGATGCATCACAGACATGTCAAGGTTGAGATAGGGAATCTGCAAATCATTGGTAATAGTTTTTCTTTAAAGTATGAGTTTATCCAGGAACACATAGCCTTGGACAGAATCCACAATGATCAGAACATACATGGTGCCCAAAAGTACTGGATAGATAGATGGAAGCCAAAATGAACAGAATCTCTCAAAAGAAACTAAAAGGTATCGTCATCAGAACGGTAGAAGGAGAATCAGAAGATTTGACAGAGAAACCATGGCATTAGTAACAGTTTAAGAAAAAGAGTGTATGATGCAGTCAGCTACCACATAACAGCTTAAGTAAAAAAGATTTGGCAGGTGATGAGGCATATTGTAGATTGTGCTTCTGGTTTAGCCTTATATAAGCTGCTGACATTGGACAAGATGCCAGCTTTCTCTCTAAGACTTTGGCCTCTCATAAATCACACATGGCCTTCTGCCTGGGATGTTAGTACTGTGGTCATATTGTGACCGTTGCCTGGCAGTCTAGACATCACTTAGAGGTATCCCCTCGTTCAGGGTAGAATAGAGATCAAGTTTCGGTCTAACCTCTTGCAGCAAACCAAGTGTATGACCCTTGCAAGATTCTTCACTCCTCTGGACCTTCACTTCTTCATCTCTACTAGGTCAGCCTTAGATAGTCCCTTCTCCACCTCCAGTGTTCTAGAGTTGTTTTTTTTTTTTTTTTAAATAATAGGGTTATGGGTACAAGCTCCTCTCAAATAGTTGAAGGTAGTTTTGTGGATTTACCTTAAGATAGCTCCACAGCCTGGGTTACTTCTAGGATTAACAATAATGTCTTAGTCCTATGTCCTCATTAGCTGAACAATAACTATAAAGTTCTCCATGATCTCAACCCTGTGTGCTTTTGAAGTAATTTTCTGTGGCTGCCCTATTGTCGTGTCTGGACAGCCTAATTATGTGTCTCAAATTCTCCCCTCAGTTAGAGATAAAGCAGAAGTCCCTGGTGAGCCTGGGGAATGAGGCAGAAGAAAAACGCGGGTCAGAAGCTGCTGAGGCAAACCCTGAGAGCCTGGGTGAGTGTGCCGACTCCAGTCATTACTGGGCCTTCTGTTTCCATTTCATAGAAAACCAGTGACCTGTCTTCTAGATTAGTTTCATTGAAGCTGTGTTGACCTAGGGAACATAACACAGGTACTAAATGTAGTTTCCAGGGATATAGAAACTTTCCTTTTTACTTCTTCCTAATTATTTTTCTTAGGAGGCATCAGGTGCTTTTGGAACTACATCTTATTACATTTTGAAAGTGTGCTGACATTGAGCCCTGGCCGGGTAGACATTGAGCCCTGGCCGGTAGGTCAGTTAGTTGGAGCGTTGTCCTGTACACCAAAAGATTGTGGGTTCAGTTCCAGGTCAGGGCACATACCTAGGTTGCAGATTTGATCTCTGGTTGGGGTGGGTACAGGAGGCAACCTATTGATGTTTCTCTCTCACATCAATGTGTATCTCTCTCTCTCCCCCTTCCTCTCTCTCTGAAAGTCAATAAAAACATATCTTCAAGTGGGGATTAAAAAAAAAAAAGCCCTGGCTGGTGGATCAGTTGGTTGACTGTCATCACATGCACCAAAAGGTCGTCGGTTTGATTTCTGGTCAGGGCATATGCCCAGATTGCAGGCTTGATCCCCAGCAAGAGGCCTGTAGGAGGCAACTGACCAATGTTTCTCTGTCTCTCTCTCCCTTGCTCTCTCTAAAGTCAATAACTTCTTTTTTAAAAAAAGAAAGTGTGCAGACATTGAATATTCAGTGAAATTAGGAATTACTGTTAATTTTTAAAATGATATCATGTTTGTTTGTTTTTAACTCATTTTTTTTTAGAGAAATATACTGAAGTTTTTGCAGTTGAAATAATGTGATGCCTGGAATCTGCATGGCAGTGGGGAGTGGGTGAAACTAGACGGGCCTTGGGTTGTTAGCTATTGAAGCTAGGTGAGGGGTACAGGGATGAACTTTATACTGTTCTCTCTCTCTGTATATATATGCTTGAAATTGTCTACAATAAAACTTTTTCAAGTGTGCTTATAGTGCTGGGAAGATTTTGGTTTATATAAATGAGATAAAATTTTATTCTATTCTCTTAGTTAATATGTTTTATCACTGTAATAATGGAGGTATTTCTTGTCCTAAATTGTTGAGTTTAAATAGGTCATTTTCTCTCTAAAACTAGGCAATAAGTTTAATTTTGACTTTTTCCCCATGGTCTTTCTTTTTGCATGTAGCAAAAGAATGTATTCAGAAGAGTCTTCTGTTATTAAAATTTTTGTCCATGGGTATAAGTTCAAAAGAAAGCTCTGACAAGTTGGTGACTACAGATGAACCTGATCACCATCTGCAGCCACTTGACAAGCGCCAGAGGACAAGCTCTGTGGTGGAAGAGCATTTCCAAGCCTCGGCATCTCCCACGGACACAGCGCCCCCTGCTGCGGGAGACAGGAGTCCTGGCTTGGATGTCCAGCCGAAGCTGCCACCCAGCAGTGGCCCTCCTGCCACAGAAGTGTCCTCTGCCACAGCCGAAGAGCCCTCTTCACCTTCCACTCCCACTCGGCGGCCCCCCTTCACCCGAGGGCGACTCCGGCTGCTCTCCTTCCGGTCAATGGAGGAAGCCAGAGGAGGCCAGACCAGTTCCCACAGTGAAAGAGAAATACCCTGTGCTGAGGGATGTGATGGACTTCATCAAAGATCAGTCACTCTCCCATGAGAGGTGAGCCAGGCATGACCTTTCTAGCACTTTCTTTTCTCAAGCCATAGGTGGTAACCAGTCTACCCAAAGGCTTGAAGCTCATGTTAAAAATGAGCAAATAATACTTGAAGGATAGATCAAGATTTGTTTTAGAATGTTAAAAAAAATTGGTAAAGAAGTATTTTTTCACTTAAGATTTTCACTTAAGATTACATACAGTACAACTGTATGTAAATTATATCTCAATAATGTACTGTTAGGATAAGAAAAGAAACATTTCTTTTGGTAGCTGCTGTTTATAAATTTGTCTTATTTTAACCCTGGGAGAAATTAGAATTTGATATTTTCTGTCAAAATTATTTGTCAGTGGGCCAACATCTCTGGAAGTATTTCGTGTTTTAATTTCCTACCCTAAGAATGAAGGCTTTGTCTCTATGGGGAAGTAAAGATGTACCGAGGTTCCTTTTTAATTAATTTTTTCGTGTGGGTTGTTGGGCTTCTGGACGGTGTGAACTGATCTGTAATGCTGGACTAAAAGTAGCAACAGATATTGATATCCTGCCTGAGTGATATTTCTGATACCTCACAATAGTATTTCCCTTGTATTAATATGGCATCAGAACTTGGGCGGGGTGTGTTTTCTTTCTGCCCCAGCTCAAGAGTTTTCTGGGTGTTCCTGACTTGAGTTCTGTCTCCAGTGTTGTAAAGGTTCTTTCCTTGAGAAAAGCCCAAGCCCAGAGCATCCTTGAAGTCCTGAAGATAATTCAGTATTGTGCAGAAGCCCTTGGGCAGCCGCATTGCTTCCATCCACCTTACATACTTTTCCTGTTGGAACTTCTGACCTGCCAGAAAGAGTTCACCAAGTAAGTACAAACTACAAGTCTTCAAGGAAAATGAGCAGGGGTTGTTTAAAGAAATCCTCATCTTCTCTAATTAATAATTCTATCATTTCTATGTAAGAAACAAATTTATGTTTTGGTCAGTTCTCTCATCCTAAGGAAATTTGGGTTCTGTTCTATCCTTTTAGTAAGTAAATACCAGGAACGTGTTTATTTCTCCTGATGAGTTTATATTTTACCAGACAGGATTATATTGCCATTTCTTCATGCTCATCATTTGGCTCCTGGAAGCTGTGAAATCAATGTAATGCTCCTTTCCAGTAATGATACTGATCTAAGTACCTCACCAGGTTGTGCTAATATGCACGCAGTAAATACTTTCTGAGCGTCGACTGTGCCAGGTGCTGTTCTAGGTGTTGTATATACACATATGGCAGTGGACATGGCAGACAGGGCCCTTGTTCTACTGGGGAAGGAAACTCGGAGGATTTTGGCTTGAGCAGTTGAGTGGATGGTAATGTATTTACTGAAAGGAAGTGTATGAAAGAAACAGATTGGGGTGAAACTCAATGAGTTTTATTTTGTCCATGTTAAGTTTGAACTGCTTTTTTCACATCTAAGGAAAGATATCAAGAAAATATCTTTGGAAAGAAGCCAGGAGTAGGGATAGAATTTGGATACTATCAGCATATAGATGGTATTTAAAACCATGAGACAGGTGAGACCTCATAGAAAGAATGCAGAGATGGACAAGAAGGGGGCTCAGGACTAAGCCTTCGGGACACTTCTTTATTTAGAAGTCAGGCAGAGGAAGAGTAGTCAGCTAAGGAGATCAAGAAGGAGTGGCCATTGAGAGTGAACCAGGGGATGGTGGTGTCATAGAAGCCAAGAGAAAATGTATCTCAAAAGATAGGAATGGTTGGTTGTGTCAAATGCTGATGTGAGAGGTTACATGAGAGAAGAACACACTGGATTTGGTATAGTCTTACTGGAGCCATGGGGCCGAAAGCCCCCTTGGATTAGGTTAAGAAGAGAATTGGGGGGTGGGGGTGATAAAATGTAGAGAAAGACTATAGACATTTTTTCCAGAAATTTGGCCTTAAAGTGGGGGGAGCAGAGGAATAGGGTAGTAATTGCAGGGGATGTGGGATCAACTGAGGGTTCTCGAGACATAGTAATATATTTATATGCTGGTGGAAATGAGGCAGTAATGAGGAAAACTTGATGCAGGAAAAGAGGGATCAATGTAGTAGCAATTGCATAGGTAGAGAAGTCATCCTTTAATAGAGCCATGGAGACTCTATTTGTGGTAGCAGGAGGAAACACAGTATGCATAGAGCTGCAAGTTGGCTGGTAGCTTTGTTGGTACAAAGATGGGGGAATTTCTATGTAATCATTTTTATTAAAAATATGTTTTTTTGTTTTGTTTTATTTTTTGTTAATCTTCACCCAAGGATATTTTTCCATTGATTTTTATAGAGAGTGGAAGGGAGGGGGAGAGAGAGAGAGAGAGAAACATCGATGTGAGAGAGACACACCAATTGGTTGCCTCTCATATATACCCTGATGAGGGCCAGGGGTTGAGCCTACAACCTAGGTACGTGCCCTTGACTGGAATCTAACCCAGGTCCCTTCAGTCTGCAGGCCAACGCTCTATCCATTTAGCCATACTGGCTAGGGTGAAAGAATATATGTTTTTATTGATTTGAGAGAGAGGGAGAGAAACATCAGTGAGAAACACCAATTGGATGCCACCTGCATGCCCCCTACTGGGGATCGAACCCACAACCTGGGCATGTGCCCTAACTAAGAATGGAACTGGTGACCTCTTGGTGCACGATACTCAACCAACTGAGCTACACCCACCAGGGCTTATCACTTCTATTTTATATATATAAAAGTGTAATATGCAAATCGACTAGACAGTGGAACGACCAGTCACTATGATGCGCACTGACCACCAGGGGGCAGACGCTCAATGCAGGAGCTTCCCCCAGTTCACAGGCCCTGATCGCCCAATTGGAGCCTGCTGGCCAACCTCTCCGTCCCTACCCCCGGCCGGCAGGCTCCAATCACCCTATGGGTAACGGAGAACTGGGGGTGGGTGGCAGCAGGCCCCCGTCCTGCTGGTCACCCCACACACAGAGGGCAACTGGCGGCACACAGAGGGCAACCGGCAGCAGGGGGCAGGGCCAGCGAGCAAGCGGAACAGCCAGCCTCTCGGTCCTTCCTCCATCCAGCAGGCTCCGATCACCTGATGGGGAACAGGGAACTGGGGATGGGTGGTGGTGGGTGGCGGGGCTGGCTGCCAGCAGCCAGGGAAGATGGCCCTGATCGCAGGCCAGGACTAGGGACTGTACCTGTGCACGAATTTCGTGCACCAGGCCTCTAGTGTGTGTGTGTATATATATGTGTGTGTGTATATATATATGTGTATGTATATGTGTAAAAGGAGGTAATCTCTGTGTGTGTGTGTGTATGTATGTATATATATACACACACATACATATATATATATATATAGTCATCAGCTATCCATATGTTTTAAAAGGAGGTAGTGGCATTTTACGGAGAAGTAGAAGGTTTGAAGTAATAATAACAATTGAGAAAGTCAATCTGATTGCCTGGCAATTTTGAGTGCTTATTTGAGAGTTATGGTTGTGAATTTAAAGAGATATAGTAAGCTTGGTTGTGTGGTATTTCTTTCAGCATCACTTAGCTGTTTTGATTTGGTGTAAGATTTCTTACACAAGTATATGGAGGGAGAAAAAAGTAAGGGAGTTGATTGCTAAGGTGTGATTGATCATGGGATCTTAACCCTTTGTGGTCCAATTTTATTTTTGGAATTCAAATAGTCTGATCCAAATTAATTGACGGGATTGAATGTTGAACCGGTTTGCGGTGTCGACCTCAGCCTCGACGTTGGACCGAAAAGGGTTAAGCTTGCATATGGAACAAAAAGAAAGAAAGCCTGGTGGGAATAGCAGATAGTGAGCATGAGACAGCATCATGGTGGGGCTTCCTGGGATTGAAAATGCTGTGTGGAAGTCCCAGAGCAGGTGAGCAAGATGAGAGATTGTCATCAGAGTAGGATGCTCTGAAGTGAGGATTTCAGAGATAATGCCATTATTGTGATGACAAGGTCAAGGAAGTGACCGTCAGGTGGGGATGGCCAAGGGGATAGAGAAGATCACTGGAGGTGGTGATGGCAGAGAAACCAGGGACAGAGGGACTGGGGCATCATTCCCATGGATGTTGAAGTCTCCAAGGTGACTAGGATCAAGGAAGCAAAGACTGGGCTTGGTGCTAACGGCATCAATGAAGGGAAACTAAAGGGTGGGCAGGACTCGTGGAGAGGATAAAAGGAGGTAATCTGTGAAAAATACCTAACACAGTATCTGACATTCAGGTAGTGGTGGGAAGGTGGTTCTTATATTAGCAAAGGAAGATTAATTGTATTTCCATACTCCTGTGGCAGCCTTCTTGAACCAGGCAGACTCACTTGCTGTTTTGTCTGTTATTTTCTGAAGTTATTACCAATATATTTGTATTTACTTACGTTTCTGTGCCGCTTCATTGTTTGCTTCTTCTAGCTCTTTTTCATGTAAAATTATTATTAAATAAATGATGTTTTGACAATTAAGTGATCAATGATTTCCTCTGTTTCTAGTTATTTTGGACATTTGGAAGGCTGTGGTGCAGCTCTACACAAAGAAATTCGAGACACTTACTATCGATTTGTTCTCTTTATGGTCAAAGCGATTAAAGGATTTAGTAGCATAAATGACAGCCTTATCCTGTGTTCAGACAGCTCTACTTCATCTCTTGGATATGGGCTGGGAACCCAGTGATCTCACCTTCTTTGTTGACATTCAGTTACCAGATCTCCTCATGAAAATGTCACAAGAAAATATAAGTGTCCATGACAGTGTGATCAGGTAAGAGCACAGTCCCACACTCTGCAGCTCTTAAAGGCGAGTGTGCAGTACAGGGGTTGCATGTAGCATAGGGGTTCAGAGCATGGACTCTGGAGCTGGGCTCTCTGTGCAATATCCTGGCCTTGCTACACACTAGCTGGTGACCTTGGGGAAGTTATTCACTCGCTCTGTGCCTCAGTTTCCTCATGTTTAGAGCTGGAGATAGTAATGGCACCTACCTCACAGGATTGTTGGGAGGAATAAATGAGTTGGACCAGTCCCTGGTACATGGTTGTGTGTGTAAGCTAGTTGGTGGTGGTTGTACTGTACACCCGGAGGATGAGGATTCTCTGCATTTTTGGAATTGTATAGCTTGTTAAATTGAAGAATCCTTTTCTTTATTTTTTGTTATGTGTATATGTGCTTTTAGCCACTATAACATCTTGCACATTATAAGGACTTAAAGCATGAGGGGAAAAAATAGTTTGCAAAGGGTTTTTTTCCTTTCCTCTTTTAATGAATGTCTTTCCACACTGCTCAAGCTACTCATTAAGCACTCATGTGGGTAGAAAAGAAATGAGAAGAGAATGGGAGAAGAAAAGCAAGAGGAGAGAATTAGGAGGAAATAAATGAATGAGTTAACACCAGAACAGTTCTCTCAAGAGATATTCTGGAAAAGGAGATAGAATTCAAGTTGTCTCTGTTTACCAAACCTCAGCCATGGCTCTGCTGTCAGAGGGTGCTCTTGGCTGACAGAGGGGACACAGCACAGGGGCCGTCACCTGGCAGTGTGCTCATTGTTTCAGGCTTTGTCTGCACCTATGTGATGAGTCCTTGGGTGGGACCACACCTGGCCTCCCAGTCCCTGATAGCAGCTAGCTCAGAGCTCAGTTTGAGCAGGACTTAAGTCAGTTTGTTGGAACATGTGAATGAACAAATGAGTATTTGTTGGCTGGTAATTTATTTTGCATTTTCTGTCAAGCAAATCATTTTGTATTTAAAATTCTAGTGACTAAAACAAACTGTAAACTGAAATAATGGATATTTACAATTTTGCAGCTAAAGGGCCCATGGATTATCTATATGAAATTTTATTTGAAATGAGGAAACTGAGGACCAAGCTGAGTGCTGTGTTAAGATCTTGCAGCAGCTAGTGGGAGAGTTAAAGCCCCAGGGTCTCCTGATTTTCTTCTCATGCTGATCCCACTGGGGTGTGCTGAGCATGACCAAATAAGACTTTAAAAAAAAATCACTTCATTTGGCTCCAGTGCCTGGCACATAGTAGGTTGTCAAGTAGAATTATGCCATGTAGGTACAACTTTTTAAGTTCTAGTTCTTCAGCCATTGTAGTCTGCCCTGGAAAGGGCATCTCCCTTTTTATTGGTGTATATTTATCAAGCATCTGGAAAATCTTGGGATTTTGAAAAGCAAATTGACCTCTTCCCCTGAGTTTAAAAATACCCTATGTTTTAGACCCATGGGACACAGTCTGTTAACCAGCACTTTCTAGGATTGTTGGGAGAGGCATGCTTTCCTCTCTTTTTGTCCTTCTTTCAGCCAATGGAGTGAAGAAGATGAGCTTGCTGATGCCAAGCAGAATTCAGAATGGATGGATGAGTGTCAGGATGGCATGTTTGAGACCTGGTATGAAAAAATAGCCCAGGAAGATCCAGAGAAGCAGAGGAAAGTAAGACATTTCAACTAGAGTAATCTAAAGTGATTTGCTAGGAGTTTGGAGAGGCGAGTCTGCCTGGGGGAGCGCAGCGGGCTGTCTCCTGAGAGGGCTCGGGGCAGACAGCACCTTAGTGCAGCGGTCGCCAATCGGTGGTCCCTAGACCACTGGTGGTTCGTGAAGTCCGAAAGGTTGGCGACCGCTGGTTTAAGGAAACCTTTGGAGCAGCGGTCGCCAACCAGTGGTCTGTGAGGTCCGAAAGGTTGGCAACCACTGCCTTAGTGAGTGCACTGTCACTGAGTGTGGTCTTTACCTGAGGGGCCCTGTATACTGACTTGACCACACTCAGGGAGTGGCTCTCTCCCATAGAACTAGACTCACAGAAAATGGGCTCATGAGGCCAGTTTATTAATTTACAGTGAGAGATGGAATTGTTGAAGGCCCTGACCTCTCCTATAGGCAAGCAACGTGGGAAGCCATGTTTCAATCAGGTTGCTTGGTGAGCATGGAAGCAGCCATGTGGACATGGAATCAGAGTTACATGATTCAGATGTGTAAAGGCACTAGGCTCAGATAACTGCATGTCCATCTCTCCCACTCGGTGTTAATCTGTCACCACCACATTGTGCCAGGCATCTGCTGCCTCAGATTCATTGGTTTTTCTTAGTATTGTATGCCTACTATGTGCCAGTTACTTTACTCATATAGCACTTCTGTGGTGCTTGGATGGAGCACACCAAATTGGCCTTTGCGATTTTTCTCTGTAAATTTCTGTAGTTCTAGAGTGACTTGGCATATTTGCTCTGAACGACTACTGTATGGTGACTTAGTGACTTATTTCCCTTATTTCTAAGCTATAAAGATAAATCGTACCGTGGCTCCCAGTTACTTTCCAGTAAAACAATTTGTTTGTTCATGAAACAGTGCCCTTACTATCTCCCCAGAAGGTTTTTCTTTTTAAATGCTAGTAAACAATGCTTCTTTTGCAGTTTCCTGTAACTGTGAACACTACCCTTGTCCAACCAAGTACCCAAGCCAGAAGGCTGGGTGTCGTTCTTGACCCTTCCCTTTTACTAATCCCTATATCCTGTGGTTCCCCAAGAATCCTCCTTCTGCCTCCTTAATGCCTTTCAAATCTGCCCACCTTTTGTAGTCTCATTTACTGCTCAGCCCAGCCCTGTGCACCGGGAGGTCATGGGGTTGCTTTAACAGTGTCTGTCATGGTCAGTTTCCCTATCCAGTCTTGCCCCCTTCACTCCAGTCTTCACGTAATAACCATGCTCAAATCTGATCACGTTCGTCTTCTATTTTAAGATGGTCGGTGACTCCGTAGACTAGCACTGGAGGCACTTTGTGGTTACCCTTTCTAACTTTACCTGGTTATTCCCCATCCCTGATGTATTCTATATACTGAATATTTGCCACTCTCTTGAGTCTAGCTCCCTTTTGCTTCCTATAGAGCTTATTATTGCTTCTATCTGGCATGCTCTCACCCTTAACCCCACCTAGCTAATACCAATTTGTCCCTCAGGTCACAATTGAGGAATTATCTCCTTTGAAAAACCTAACACCCATTGATGTCCCTCTTCTGTGTTCTCTAAGCCTCCTGTATATGCCTATCAAAGCCCTTATTATATTGTATGGTGTCATCTGTTTGCTGGAGGGAGTTCCCAACTAGACACTAAGCTCCTTCATTTCCTAATCCTAGCACCTAGTACAATGCCTGGAATATTTTAAGGACCTATTAAAGGATGGATTGATTAATGAATAGTGGCTATTGGGTAATTGTGCTTATTTCACCTTACAGATGCACATGTTTATTGCTCGCTACTGTGACCTGTTAAATGTGGACATCTCTTGTGATGGGTGTGATGAGATTGCCCCCTGGCATCGCTACCGGTGCCTGCAGTGCAGTGACATGGATCTCTGCAAAACTTGCTTCCTAGGTAAATTCGATGGTCGCATAAACTATGCCCAAAAGGAATAATTGTTTCTGTTTTCTGTGATCTTGTCCATTTTTAGATTCTCTTTGTACTAAATGAAGATACTGCCCAGTAGTATTCTCTGACTTGTTAGCAAATATGAGCCTATCTCCCCAGCTGAATCTTAGGTTCCAGAGCTCTGTTACCTTCCATCATGCTGGATGTAGGCACTTGATAAGTACTCAGGACCAATGAATGTACTTTCAGTTGAGTTTCCGGGAAATTAGTTTTCCTCTGAATCGTGCAGTGTTTAGAATTAGTAAAATACACATACACAAAAAGCAAACTTCAAAAATTCTTGAAACTCTTGACTTGTAGGTGCTGAGGTAAAACAGACCAACAGTAGTGAGCAGTTGAGTGCTCTTTGTGCACGTGGCCCAGTGGTAAAAGATACAACCCTGCCCTGGAAGGAGACTGGACATGTGTTCTAGTACAAGCGTGTGCATACTGAGTTACAGAGGAGAAGTGCAGATTATTCTGGAAACATTGAGAAGTAGCAGTGATCACTGCTGCAGGGAAGGCTTGTGGAGGAGGTTGAATGTGAATTGGTCTTTGAAGAAAGTTAGAACTGGGTGACGTGAAGGAAACATTGGAGAGTGAGTGCATCACCATCCAGAGCAGAAAGTCCAGTGCCAGAGGAGTGAGCATCTGTCCATGCTTAGGTAGACATGCTCACGTGTCCAGCTGAGTGATGGATTGAGACAGGCGGGGCTCAGATTGTGGGGCCCTGACATACTAGGCTAAGGAATTTGAATGAGTCTACAGAGAGCAGGAAGGTTTTTCAAGCAGAATATTAACATGATCAGAGCTATGCTAGAGGAAGGTGGTTCTGTCCATATGAGTTTCCCTTAGGAAGTCAATCACAGTGGTGACAAGGGGATTAGTGTCTGGGCTAGGGTTGTGGCAGTGGGAACAGAAGTGGGTCAGGTGTGAGGATCAGTAAGTAGAGTCTATGGCAGTGTTTGGAGACCCACTAGATTTAGAGTAGGAAGGAAACCAGAGCAGTCAGTCAGTCTCTTTTGTGTTTAACATTCTTTCTCACTATGGGGTTATGAAGTCTGTTTTAATCTCTGATTCTGAAATGAAAAGGTAAGAGCAAAAACCAGGTCCCTCAGGAATACACAGTAGATGCCTAATATTTGTCAGAGGAGGGGTTCTGGTAGGTAGCTCATGGTAGCTCATGAATGGGCATGTGGATTTGTTTCATAATGGAAATTGGTCATTGATTTGATCAGTCTCTGCTGCGCTGGAAAAGGGCGTCAGTCCACGGTACCATTGATAAGACGTTCTGTGCGGAGAATATTGTTTCTCTATATGTGCAGAGCCACTGGGCAGAATGCCTGGTCTCCAGAAGATGCTGTGGCTTCTAATGTCCTGATCAGTGAATTGGGAACAGCTCTGCTTCTGTGGTTGGTTTAGGTTTGGAAGCAGCTGTTCTAAGAGTCCTTTGCCCAATCCACCTCACACTGATATTTTTCTCCTCAGGTGGGGTGAAGCCTGAGGGCCACGGAGATGACCACGAAATGGTCAACATGGAGTTTACCTGTGACCACTGCCAGGGTTTGATCATAGGCCGGAGGATGAATTGCAATGTGTGCGATGACTTTGACCTTTGCTATGGATGCTATGCAGCAAAGAAATATTCCTATGGGTATGTCTCAGATGTCCTCTAACCCTGCAACTTTTTTTCTATGTATCCCTTGGCTATTTTTTATAATTTAAAAACCTCTTATAAAAAATTTCAAATATACCTACAAGTAAAGAAACTAGTACTAGTACAGTGAATCCCCATAACACCCATTACCCAGATTGAGCAGTTGGGAAGATTTTGCTCTGTGTGCTTAGCTTATTCCTTCCTTTTTTTTCTTTGTTAAAGTATTTTCAAGCAAATTACATATCTTAAATCATTTCTTTTCTACATACTTCATATCCATCTCTGAAAATTATGGGCATTTCCTTATGTTACCAATATGCTGTAACTACAACCTACAAAATTTATCAGTAAGGAACTCTTACATCTTCTGGTTTTCATATACAGTTTTCTGGGGGTTGTGAAATCCTGAAATGATATGTACAACGTTTGTGTTTATTCATTTTTCTGGGTGAGGACACCTATTTACCTTTAAATTTTTAATAGCCATAGCCTTAGAGGTAATGAATGCTCAGTTGTGACCATGCACGTGCTCCCCTGAGGCTCTGTTCTCCTTTTTGGAGCCTCACAAAAGGGTGTAGGCCTTAAAAATGTCTTTCCTTTGCAGCCATTTGCCTACCCACAGTATCACGGCCCACCCGATGGTGACCATCCGGAGCAGTGACCGGCAGAGGCTCATCCAGCCCTACATCCACAACTATGCCTGGCTGCTCTTTGCCGCCCTGGCTCTCTATAGCGCCCACCTGGCCAGCTCAGAGGAAGTGGATGGTGAGAAGCTGGATCCCCGGGCCCGCAGCTGTGCCGTCACCCTGCGGAGCCAGTGCATGCAGCTTGTCGGGGACTGTCTCATGAAGGCTCACCAGGGAAAAGGTGATTGCTCCTCATGCACAGAAGCCAAACCAAACCAGCCCGCAGCAGTGAAACACTCTGCTCTGTTCAGAGGCTACACAGTCCAGTTTCCCACAAGCAGTGTCCCCCCTGTGGCAGGACTTTATTTTTAATTCTCAAATGCATTTGAGAGAAACGTTGGTATTAAAGTAGCAGTTTCTCAAACATATGTACGTGAAGATGTAAAATAAATTAATAATTAAACGCTTGATGTCTGTGGACGAAGTATTTCGTATTTGGATCTATCAGACTTAACTTTGCCAAAGGAATTTAGCCTTTTTTTAAACCTGGAATGCAAATCTACTCCCACACAACTGTATTCTAAATGAGAGCTATTTATAACTAAAGCAGTTTGACTAATAAAATATCTAGATGATTTTGACTTTACTGAGGGGAGCTAAGAAGAAAATAACGTGAATATTAAACTTCTGAGACATTTAAATTCTTTGCAGAATAATGGACTCCCCATTCTAGTCAACACGGGGGAAATCAGGCCTGTAATAAGTAGCAGGTGGGCAGTCTCTGTGCTTCAGAGCTATTTTGCTATCTGTTTGCCAGTGGGAATTTAGAAATCCGGTTGTGTGGGGCTACTACGTTATGTTGATGATTTTCTAAATAGACAATCCTATTGTATCTATTGTTAGTAAAGTACATGTATCCCTCACTATCCAAACTTTTGGTGTGTGAAATCAGAGCTGAGTAGATTTAGATAGCCAGGGAGGTTTGTATTGAGTACTCCTTGGTTTGGCTTATAGAGAATTCAGTCTTTTATTTTCATAAAGTAGCAAAGTGATTTATGGCATTTGCAGGAAATCATCCTTTTTATAAAACTTTTAACCATTCTCTCATTTGCTTCCATGCAGGTCTTAAAGCTCTAGCTCTTCTTGGTGTGTTGCCAGATGGTAACTCTACTCCAGGAAATCAAGCCCCACCAGTGATCGTGCCCACCCGAACGGCAGAGGAGCAGCTGGAGAAGGAAGCTGTCCAGGTTGCTGAGGAGCCGGCAGATACAGGCCCTTTTGTGCACTGCAATGTAAGTAATGATTCTTTATTGCGCAGGTTGAACAGAGAGCCATTCACACGAGGGGCAGAGCAGAGAGGTTAAGAGCACAGACTCGACTCAGATTACCTGGGTGCTGCTCTCTGCTCCATCAGACCTTGGGCACATTACCACCATCTCTTCGCTTCAGTTTTCTCATCTGTAAAACGTGGCGATAATAATACCTATCCTATAAGGTTGTTGTGAGGATTTACATACATTATGTACATTGAGTTAATGTATGTAAAGTGCTTAAAACACTGTTCAAGTAGTTCCATGTCAGTGCCAACTACTCTTACCTGCCTCCTAGTGGTTTTTATAAGGATTGAATAAGATTATGCACCTAAAAAGATTAGTTCTGGCCCTTGATGAACCCATGACCCTTCGGTGCTTGGGCCAGTGCTCTATCCACTGAACCACACTAGCCAGGGCAAGCATGTCCTTAATTTTTTATGCAAAAAGATATTTCAGGCTTATCTTAGGCTTTCCCTGCCTAGAGACTGGAATAAGCCTTCTTCTAGGGCCGTGGTCGGCAAACTGCGGCTCACGAGCCACATGCAGTTCTTTGGCCCCTTGAGTGTGGCTCTTCCACAAAATACCACATGCGGGTGCACGTACAGTGCGGTTGAAACTTCGTGGCCCATGCACAGAAGTCGGTTTTCGGCCTGGGCGAGTCTATTTTGAAGAAGTACTGTTGATATTTGGCTCTGTTGACTAATGAGTTTGTCGACCACTGTCTAGGGCAGTGATGGCGAACCTATGACACGCATGTCAGAGGTGACACACGAACTCATTTTTTTGGTTGCTTTTTCTTTGTTAAATGGCATTTAAATATCTTACCTAATAATAGACAAACATGGTAATTGACCATACCTTCGCTACGCCTCCCATGGGCTAATCAGCACGATATGCAAATTAACCGCCAACAAAGATGGCGGTTAATTTGCATACTAGGTTCCAAGCGGTGGAGCGAAGTCTGACGGCCCGGGGCAGAGCAGCGAGGCCTCACACCCTGGCGCCAAGCGGAGCAGCGAGGCATCACGGCCCCGGTGCCAGGCGGAGCAGCGAAGCCACATGGCCCCGGTGCCAGGCAGAGCAGCAAGGCATCATGGCCCTGGCGCCAGGTGGAGTAGTGAGGCCACAGGGCCCGGGGCTGGCAGAGCAGCGAGGCATCACGGCCCCAGTGCCAGGCGGAGCATAGAGGCCACAGGGCCCCAGTGCCAGGCGGAGCATAGAGGCCTCATGGCCCTGGGGCCTGCCGAGCAGCGAAACCTGACGGCTCTGGGGCAGCTCTGGCCGGAGCCCAGCCAGAGCGAAGACCTGGGTCCCAGGTGTGGGAGGAAAACTGGTGCCAGCAGCCAAGGGAAGGGAAGGCCTATTGCACAAATCTCTTCATGCAACAGGCCTCTAGTATAAAATAAATATCAAAAATAAAAATTTTTGTTTTACTATGGTTGCAAATATCAAAAAATTTCTATATGTGACACGGCACCAGAGTTAAGTTAGGGTTTTTCAAAATGCTGACATGCCGAGCTCAAAAGGTTCGCCATCACTGGTCTAGGGCATTATTTTTTTCTCCCTCAATTGTCTCCACCCTTAGGTGTCCAGCCTCTGACACAGTCTCTGAAAAGCTTCAGTTTCCAGCACTTTCCCCATAACAGAACCTACATGTCCCCACTGCGCTGGCCCTAAGGACCACGTCCCATTTGGGCCTTGAGTACAAATCACTTGTTTAAACTCCCAGGTGTTTCTAGCCAATTCCAGGCCAGATTAAGGGTATCTTCCCACTCTTCTCCCTCCAGTGACTAGAAATGCTTTTTGTTTTAAACAACCAAGAAAACAACCTCAGCCAGAGGCATCACCCAGGGGATTTTATCTACAAGGGCCTCAGGCCAGTAATGAGACTCGTTTGGGTGCTACTTATGTTAACTGCAGTAGCACTTGGGAGTCCTGTGATAACAGGAAAGAAGATCAAGAGTAAAATGATTAGCAAGAACTTTGGAATTCTGTTGTTTTTATAAAGGGCCACATGGTACAGAAAGTGTGGTTTTACAGGTCTGATTTTCAGAGGGGGTATTTTTAACAAGGCAGATGGCTCTCCCAGTCTCAGTCCCTTCTTAGGATGATCTTATAATCATTTTTTATAAGGAGGGGATTCAGGGTAGGTTTGATGTTGTGGTTACTGTATCTAGAGAGAGGATGATAAGCAATGGCCACTGGGAGATATCAGCATCTTCTCATGGTGTTTGGTGCTGTACAAAACTCCATTTTTGGATTCAAAGCATCCTGGCCTCCCCAGACTTCTTGGCCTTCCCACAGACTTCCTGTATGACCTGCTTTCCATGTTTAACCTGTGTGACAACAGGGAGAAGCACCCTGCAGGCCTAGGGAGTGCAGGTGGTTTTGGGGTGACACGGTGACTCCTGGAGAAATTCAGGCTGAGGGCTGCCTCCCTGCCAAGCTGGGCAGCTCATCACCAAACTCCTGAGCCCAGAAAACCATCGCAGCTACTCTAAGGGCCCCTTACCAAGTCTACTTGCCAAAATGGAATTCTCAAAAGTTGTAAGTCGCCCTGGCTGGTTTGGCTCAGTGGATGGAGCGTTGGCCTGCAGACTCAAGGGTCCCAGGTTCGATTCCGGTCAAGGGCATGTGCCTTGGTTTCTGGCACATCCCCAGTAGGCGGCATGCAGGAGGCGACTGATCGATGTTTCTCTCTCATCGATGTTTCTAATTCTCTATCCCTCTCTATAAAAAATCAATAAAATATATTTTTAAAAAAAGTTGTAAGTCAGTGCTGTGTGCTAGAAGGAAACTTACACCTTTGTTTTTTTCTTTTTCCCAAGAGAAGAACTTTCCATACTTGGCTTCTGAAAGCCAAATAGGATGTATTAAAGGTTTTAATAGAGCCACTGCTTATGTGATTACAGGCTCTAACTGAAGGACATTGGGAAGATGTTTGTTGGGATGTGATGCCGTGATTACTATCTTAGAGTATAGACTTATCATTAGAAATGAAGAACATTTTCTAATGGAATTCAGAAGTATTTTAGTGTGTGAAGGCTGATTGGTTAATGACTTAAACATTTTTTTTAATCCTCACCCCAGGATATGTTTTGAGAGAGAGAACATAGATGTGAGAGAGAAATAGCAATTGGGTGCCTCCCATTAGCACCCCGACCAGGCATCAAACCCGAATCCTAGGTATGTGCCCTGACTGGGACTCAAACCCACAATCTTTTGGTGTACAGGATGATGCTCCAACCAACTGAGCCACCTGGCCAGGGCTGATTAGTTAATGATTTTAAAAGTTGTATTGTAATATTAATGA